AAATCCTATTAGCACTACTAAGGAGTGGTGACATATAATTAGATCCATTCACAAATTAATTTGCAGCTTCTTTAGATTCCCGTAATAAATATTTTTCTACATATGATGAATTCATAAAAAATTTCTTAATCTACAGTCTTTTTACTATGAAAATTCCTGTCGATTATAAATACCAAGCATAATATTAAACCTTATGAAAAGAAAGTGTAAAATCTGAAATCAATATCAACACATCAGAAATTTTTCATCAAATAAGTGCACAATATAATAACGACTAGCACACCAGGGACGATTGTAAATCCCATCATCCATTTTAGGACAACTTTTCTTGATCTTCCATTTAGGGTATAATATCCCAATACTTAAACAAGCATTCCTTTGTTAATATGTTTTATATGTTTTGAATTGATATATTTAATAAAGAAACCAACAAAAGTTTAGAGGATGTTGCTTACCAACCTTATAGAGCGATGAGCAAATTATACATAAAAATTTCTTACTCTACAATTAGATCCATTCACAATTTATAATTACTATTTTCAATAAATGAATTGGTTATGTGTAGATTATTTTCTCCTCACCACCAAGATGCTCAAAATGCTAAGCATCTATGACCTCTTAGATGTCCAAGGTTATTAGGTATATAAACAAAGTTACAAGTAATATTCAAACCATACAGAATCTCAACAGGTTAAAAGGTCTGAAAGCATGTAGAACATTTATACACAATGAAACATGATTAAGCACTTTAATCAAATATTATAATGCAGGCTTCGATTCGTTTCACGACCAACAATATTGTACAGGATGTTTAGCTGCACACATGCTAGTGCTATGAAGACAAGAAATTGCAATAATTCTCCATAATCATAGAATGCTGATGATGAAGAATTGCTTATTACAAATATGTACAGGTAATTACCTCAAGGCCAAAACAATGTTGATGATAAGGAAACCCTTTCAAGCTTATGTTACTACTTTATTGACAATGGAGCACTAGAGATTATTCGAATAGTTATTTTGATGAAGCTAGTATACCAAAAATGAAATCCTACCTCCAGACCAATAATGAAGTCATAGAAATTCCTAGAAACCAAAAGTTAACTTCTTGTGAAACTAACTTCAAAACCAACTAGAGAAATCCCACTAACAGAGAACAATATGTAACCATCTAAACAAAGACACCCCATTGAGAAAACATACACTAGAGGATGAAAACTATAACAAGAAACTATGCCTTGTTAATATGAATATGACAAATGTGTTGCAATAATTTTAAGTGCTCTAGTATCTGACATCATCTGACAAACTTCAAATCACTATGTCAAGCTCATAACAGAAGCTTCAACATTTGAATCATACCTTATGAGAGCACAACAGTTTTTATCAAAATGTTCTTCCAATTACTTTGAACATTTCTAATTTTAAACCATGGAATGGACGTTACAGTAATTAGAAACCTCCCAATAATGAAATAAGCCATAAGAAACTAAGATAATCTAGAAATTAAAACATCATTCTGCACAAACTTTTAGCCTTAGTAACCTAGAACACAAAAAATAAAATATTTCATGTTGAACTGAACTATTCAAATTAGATAATATGATCATATGTATGTCATCAAAGAGACCTGAACTATTCAAATTAAATAATATGATCATATGTATGTCATCAAAGAGACCTGCAGTAGTTAAGTTAATGCCTCAAATGAAGAGATGGTGACTTTTACATAGTTCAATAAGTTATTAGGTAATAAGATAAAAACAAAACAAAAAATGACCTGGACATTCAAGAGGGGAGTCTTTGATCTTTGAGCAGTATTTGGGAAATAAAAATAATACCTCGTGTTTTCAACTTCAATTTTTCAGCATTGCAATTGTGAGCTAACTCCAAAAACCCTTCAACACATGAATCAACTGAATATATGTGAATAGATATATTGTGATAAATCGATTAAAATCCCATGAACAAGCTTCTTACCTCAAAGATCAAACTATGGAAAGTAAAATGCAATCTGATGAGAAGAAAATAAATCAATGAAAAATGAAGAGAGGTCAGGCAACCTTCTCCACAAATAACAAATAGATTTGTTTCTTTTTTCGTTAATACCGTTCAGCAACTACTAGAAGAAATGCTACATTCCACCCTAAGAACAACATTTTTATGATTTGAAATTAAGAGCAAGGTTAAAAGGATAATAATTAAGATACTATTCCAACAAGCTAATGGTCCCATATATGAAATGCTATCAGGATTGATTCCCAAACCCTAAGTCAACATTTATCATTATTTTTTCTAACATCTAAGCTCAACTTTCAAATCGTTGAAAATTATGTCATGTTCCAATGTAAGTGAGAGGCAATAACGTGTCTTGCTAACTCCGCAGGAATCTCCATAGTAAACCTCAATACTTATTAGAGGCTAGGTACCCTCTAATCAGGGGCGGAGCTAGAATTTTATATTTGAGGAAGCCAAAACGTCAAACAGAAAGTTTAGTTATATGTTATTTTGGCATATTGAGTAAAATATTACCTACAAAAGTATTAAATTGAAATGAGTGGTTTTTTTTTCATACATATAGTATGATTTTACTACTATATTCATGTTCGAATACAATTTTGATAAGTATTGATTTCGAATTTTACACTCATTTAAAAAATTTCTGATGTGCTGATATTAATTTTTGATGGTGACATACAATATAAGAAATTTCTATTGTAGTATGATTTTACTACTATATTCATGTTGTATGATTTCAGTTATAGATTCCCGAAATAAATTTTTTCCTACATATGATAAATACATAAAAAATTTCTTAATCTAAAATCTTTTTTACTATGAAAATTCATGTCAATTATAAATACCAAGCATAATATTAAACCTTATGGAAAGAAAGTGTAAAATCTAAAATCAATATCAGCACATCAGAAATTTTTCATCAAATAAGTGCACAATATAAGAACGATCAGCACACCATGGACGATTCTAAATCCCATCGTCCATTTTAGGACAACTTTTCTTGATATTTCATTTAGGGTACAATATCCCATTACTTAAACAAACATTCCTTTGTTAACATGTTTTGAATGGATAGTTTCAATAAAGAAACCAACAAAAGTTGAGACGATGTTGCTTACCAACCTCTTAGAGCAATGAGCAAACTTCGTTTAAGATTTATGTACGTAAAATTTAAAATTAAAAGAAGTTTGGTTGCCCTGTCTACGTACAAATTAATTATCTCAAGCTTTGATCTTTTCAGCATCCTTTAGTACTAACCACAAAACCTTTATGATTGCAGCAATTACTTTAAACAACAGTGAAGCATAAATACATAAAAGGTATACAAAATATGACAGTATGGCATTATAAAATAAGATAAAAAAGAAAATCTCTTAATAAGCAAATAATACAAACAACCCTTAAAAATGTTCAGGAAAATTTTAGCAATGCCCCTTGAACCATAGACCTTGTTCCATTTTGCCCTTAGAACTTTCCATTTGGTTTGAGCCCCTCTAATATTTCAAAACGTGTCAATGTGTCCTCTTTCGTCAAATTTGTTAATTCCTCCGTCAAATTCAGGGGTAATCATGTCCATTCAGGTTAGGGTTTGGATTGACCCACTTCAACCATAATTTACTCAACTCATTCTTCCCTTCAAAACCTACTTTTAATGGACAGAAAAATGGTTAAGAATTTATATATTCAAAGTTGAAATTTATGAGAGCCCTTCCACCCATTGTGTCATGGCAAAGGGCAAGTAAGGGCAGACACTATTCATGTGAATAGTGACTGCCCTAGACTTTTAATTTTGCTTTCCTACCCATTGTCATGGAAAGTAAAGACAAACACTGTTCATATGAGATATGAGGAGAGGGATTTGTATGGAGTTTTTGTGTGGGAAGTGAATAATATGGCCAGATATTTATAAAAAAGAAAATTATGAGTTTTGAGTATTTGTCTTTTTTTTCTTCTTCTGGTATTTAAATTGATCGCCGATGTCACGCTAACTTCAGCGCTCCTAGGCAGCAGCCCATGCAAGTCTTGCCTTTAGGCTGGCCTGGGTAAGTGGGCCCATTCTTGCCCACGCAAACCCTTGTTGTTGTGGGCCTTCTTCCAAGCCCTAGGCTCCCTTTTGCCCTCACAAAATAGCACCGGTGGAACTGCTCTTAGTATATCAAAGTATGCCTCAAAAATATGGGGCCCCTTTGAATGAAATTTATCAGCTTCTTTGGGACACTGCCACTCATGGAAGCAACTACTATGTTGGTAGTAGTAAGACACGATAGGGGTTAAAGCTATGGCTATTTAACTTGTCTAAAATTATTACTAACTAATAAGATTTTCTTCTGTAAGTTGGAATCTTAAAAACTTAAACAAAAATTCCGAAAAATAATTAGGAAGGTATTTCTCATGCAAATTGCAATTCATCGTACTTCCTAAAACCTATCAAAATATATACGGGTATTTTTGGTAGTTCACCCTACTTTTTCTCCCACATCCTTATTTTTGTCACTCTCCTATATCCTATAACTTCTAGAGGTTCTCTAAGGTTGTTCATGATCTCATACCCCATAAAGTTGAGAAAGAGTTTAGAGGTGGCATCCACATTGGCTAAATCTGCCTCATGATTTTACTTTTTTGGGTGCAAACTCGTGCTTTTACTTAACAATTCTAATCACTTTGTTTCAAGGACAGCTCTTATTTTTCCCAATATGGGCCACCTTATCAGTTTTTTGACAAACTAAATAATTTGTTTCAGACTGTATTTGAACGTTTCTTTTGGACAATTGGATAAAATAGTTAGGAAAACAGATTTATTTTTCAGTTAAGGACCTCAGAGGCTTCCAATTTTTCATGGAAGGACTTTTTATGTGACTATATAAGAACCCAGTTTGGCATAATGTTCTGCCATAACCAATCAAATATTACCTAAGTATTTGCTTCTGTTTCTTTGTTTTCTTTGAATCCTACATACATTGCTTGAGTTTTAGGAGGCAAAAATGGCTATCTTCATTGAGCAGCCAGAGCTTGTGTCACAAGTTGAGGACCAGAGGCTTTCTTCTGAGACCAATGAAGAAGTTGTAGCATCAAGCGACACATTCATTGCCCCTAAAATCAATTCGTATGGGAAATCATTTAGAGACTACAATGTAGAAAACGAAAGGCAGCGAAGCGTGGAAGAATTCTACCGGCTGAACCACATAAATCAAACGTATGATTTCGTGAAGAGGATGAGGGAGGAGTACAAAAAATTGAACAGAGTTGAAATGAGCATATGGGAATGTTGTGAGCTCCTCAATGAGGTTGTGGATGACAGTGACCCTGACTTGGATGAGCCCCAAATTGAGCACTTGTTGCAAACAGCTGAAGCCATTAGAAAAGACTACCCTAATGAAGATTGGCTGCACTTGACTGCTCTTATTCATGACCTTGGAAAAGTGCTTCTGCTTCCTAGCTTTGGAGGGCTTCCCCAATGGGCTGTGGTTGGAGACACACAACCTTTAGGGTGTGCTTTTGATGAATATATTGTGCACCACAAGTACTTCAAAGAAAATCCTGACTATAACAACCCTTCCTACAACACCAAATATGGAATTTACTCACAAGGATGTGGACTGGAAAATGTGGTCATGTCATGGGGTCATGATGAGTACATGTACTTGGTGGCCAAGGAAAATGGAACAACCTTGCCTCAGGCTGGCTTGTTCATCGTCCGGTACCATTCATTTTACCCTCTGCACAAGGCAGGGGCATATGAACACCTCATGAACAAGGAGGATCAAGAAAATCTCAAGTGGCTTAAGATATTCAACAAGTATGACCTCTACAGCAAAAGCAAAGTTCGAGTTGATGTTGAAAAGGTCAAGCCCTATTATTTGTCCCTCATTGACAAGTATTTCCCAACAAAGCTCAGATGGTGATCAGTCTTCCTTCAATAATGTACATTTACTATTGATTGTATTGAGGAGTTGTATATTCTATGTTTGAGGAATAATATCCAAATTGACAAACAAATAAAACTGTATTCAGTAATTCCATTTGTTCCTAAAGTTTTTGTTTTCTTGGTCGTGAAGAAAAGCTTCATTAAAGAAGCAAACAATGACATCAAAAAGTGCTTGGTTCATATTTAAATGGATATTCTTATGTTATTGGCATGAATAAGCAAAAGTCGATTTATATTGAATTTGGATTTGGATTCTCTATGTACATTACCCTTATTTAGTGTACATAAATAAAATACTTCAAATATATATAGCTTTCTTTTATTGTTGATTTTAATGTGAAAAAGAGTGACATGAAGAAGAGGAAACTGATGACGATGAGGATGAAAACAATGACCATACACATGGTAAGAGTAAAATAATAATATTGTACAATCCAATAAAATAAAATAATAAAGATTTAGGAGTAAGTTTATTTTTCAGGAAAAAAAATAGTCAAGGAACAGACACACTTAAGACTATATTTTTGGTATACGGATCCACTGTCCCCAAATTGGTGTCCCCTCCATGTCCCCTCTCTAATTTGCTGACACATGTCAACTAACATAACAGGGAGTTAAATCTGTTAACTTTTTTAGTTGACAATTTTAAAAATTAAAAAAAATTAAAAAATGCCCAAATATCCCAGCAGCAAGCGAGCGTCGTCTTCTCCGTGAAAGTCTTCTCCTCTTCTCCAATTGCAGCATCAATTCCTTCCTTGCAAAACCCAGACATACCCACTCTCCTCCCTCATAATCTCTGCATCTTCTCCACCATCAACTCTCAAACGCTTGCAAAACCCAGTTCTCCTCCCTCCTAATATCTATTTGGAAATTTCAGCACCATTAAACCAATCGATTATACCTTTTGTTGAAGCCCTATGTATTGGAAACTTATATAATATACACTAAATCAAAGTATTATTTGTTCAATTTTCTTTGTTAGGTTTTATCTTCATGATATGTTTGATTTCATATTCTTAGTAATCAACCTTTTGAACAATCCCAGTCACAGGAATCAATCCCTATCTCGATTAAATTAATTGTTATAGTAATCAATCCCAGCCATAGGAATCAAACCCAACCATAGTAATAAATCCCTGTCTCAATTAAATTAATTGTTATTTTATGATTATTGTTTTATATATAGAAATTTAAATCTTATAAATTACGTGTTGCCAATTTTCTCAAGGACATGAACAGGGAAAATAATTACAGAGATGATGATGGTGTTAGACAAAGCTTATCTACATGTTCAAATTCAAAATCTGTAACAGGTGTAGAGAAGGAGTCCTAGTCTGACATAGTTTTCTGTTTGTATTTCAAATGTACAGGTTTGGCTCCCACTTATATAGGGATATGATGTAATCTTTGTAACTGATACTGTTGTTTTGCTAATATAAATTGTTGTTCCATCGTCTTGATGGATACAAGCTCATCAAACAATTCCTGAGCTTTCTATTGTTTTACATGGTATCAAGAGCCTTCAGTCTCACGACTTGAATTTGTTTTTTTCTCTCCACACTTATTTCACATTCATGGCCACCAACAATTCCCAAACCAGCAATGTTGTACCTCCTCCTTCCATACCCTCCATTGTCAACATCAAACTGGATCGTTCTAACTATCCATTATGGCTAGCTTATATCGTTCCTCTTTTGAAAAGTCGGGATCTTTTGTCGTTTGTTGATGGCACTAGTGAATGTCCTCCTAAGACTATTGCTAGGAGTACTACTGTGAATCCTGCCTACACCACCTGGGTTCAACAAGATCAACTGATCCTTAGTTGGATCAATAGCTCTCTGACTCCATCTGTTCTCTTTACTGTGTCGAGAAATCAGACTTCTCGCACAACTTGGCAAGCTTTGGAGCACAGATATGCCTCTGCCTCTCATAACAACATCTTGCACTTACATAATGAGTTGCTTCGAACCATGAAAGGTGATTTGTCCGTGAGTGACTACCTTGATTGTGTGAATGCTATTCATGACAACTTGGCTTGGAAAGCCAGTGGATGATGATGAACTTGTCCAGATTATTATGAATAATCTTGGACTAGCCTATGAAATGATCGCGAGTGTGGTGAAAGCTCGTGACACTCCAATCTCATATGACACCCATGAAGCTCTTCTTTTGATTGCTGAGCGACAAATGACAGAGCAAACTGTTCCTATGCTAAAGAATTGACCTACGGCTTTTGTTGCTGCTCTTGGACGTGGTAGTTCTCGAGGATGTGGGCGTGGTGCTGCACGGCCCACTCGTGGAGGTTTTCCCAATCAAAGAGGTGGTGTCTCCCACTGTACTTCTTCTGCTCAACGTACTACAGCCAATTTTGGGGAGTCCTTTGCATCGACTACTCCAAGAATTGTCTGTCATATTTGTGGCAAAGCTGGCCACCCAACTTTTGATTGTTTCCAGTGAATGAACATGGCATATGAGGGTAGAATTCCAGCCAAGCATCTTACTGTTTGGGCCAAAAGGAATCGCACGCCAGCCCACTTCTCACAAAGGCCCACAGAGACAAAGAACTGGGCTTTAATTCAGAAATAAAAGGAAGCCCAAAAGCCAAATTAAAGAGGCCCATGATTTTTACAAAAGGCAATCAATCACCAAAGCAGATCAATAAAAATTGAAAGAAATTTGATGGGGCCCAGCTTTTGGCTCACCACTGATCTCAAAACTCAGAGTGCAAAATCAGCAGATCTTTTTGAAAGCCTATTCTCAGAACCCACGTGACTACCTGACTTAGAAAAGTCAACAATTTCAACTATCACAAAGGGTTGATTGGAAATTAAATGAAAGCAGGTCAGTAGCAAAAAGACTTCTCTGAATCTCTGCCACTAGAAGATCAAAACCCCTTATATATTCAAAGATATTGTTTCTGCTCCAAAGAAGGCACCATCTTTCAAGGGATATGTAGGTTATGTTTTCTAGAAAGAGATGGGCAGGAAACAGGGAGTTGTTCAAACTGGAAAATCTTAGACTTCACTGCTATGAAACTCAGACACCACATGCTGCCATACACCATCTACATCATTGCCAAGATAGACATAATCAAATACATGCTAACAAGGCCAATGTTGAGAGGCAGAATTGAAAAATAGACTCTGGCTTTGATAGAATTTGCTTTCAGATATGTTCCTCAGAAAGCTGTCAAAGGACAAGCTGTAGCAAATCATCCAAGGGAAGAGATTAAAAACATGGACTCTTTGGACATAGCAAACACAGATCTGCTGACTAGAGCTCATACTTGCCTTAACAATCCTATCTATTCAGTTCACCTCACACCTTGGAAGCTGTACTTTGATGGATCAAAAACTGATGTGGCTTTTTGGGTAGGAATTGTTTTGGAGGAACCACTAGGGATCAGACATTGTTATTCTTTCCAGTTAGATTTCCAGTGCACCAACAACAGGGCTGAATATGAAGCTTTAATGATTGGCCTAGAAATGCTGGTGGAATTAGGGATCCAATCTATGGAAATCCAGGGAGATTCCATGTTTGTGTTAAAACAGATTGCTGGAGAATACAAGTTTCGAAGCCCTTCTTTAGCTGTCTATCTAGTGGCAACCAGAAACCTGCTGATAGAATTCAGAGAAGCTACTTGGGAACATATCCTAAGAGAAGAAAACTTTGCAGGCAATTAATTGGCTCAGGTAGCAACAAGTATACAAATTCTTGAAGACTGTGTACAGAGAATCATTAAGGTAGGAAAGAAAAGTCTACCATCTGTTCTGACCAGAGGAATGGAGATAGATGTCAATTCTGCCATAATCACTAAGAATGATTGGAGAAATCCCATCATAAATTACTTGCATATCCAACCCTGCCTTCTGAGAAAAGAGTCAGAATCATGGCTTTGAACTACCTTATGTGGAATGGAGATTTGGTCTGAAAAAGCAAGGACTAGGTACTTTTGAGGTGCCTTGGAAATAAAGAATACATAAAGGTCATGGGAGAAACTCATGAAGGAATCTGTGGAGCTCATCAAGGAGGAAGAAAAATGTGCTGGTTAATTAGGAGATATGGCTATTTCTGACTAACCATGATGAAAGATTGCATTGACTATTCCAAGGGATGTGAGGCTTGTTAAAGGCACGGCCTAATCCAGCAGGCTCCTTCAGTTCCCATGAATCCTATAGTAAAGCCATGGCCTTTCAAAGGATGGGCAATGGACCTCATTGGCAAGATCTATCCAGTCAGTAGCAAGCAACACTGTTTTATCTTTGTAGCTATAGACTATTTCACCAAATGGGTGGAAGCCAAGCCTGTTAAATCCACCACATCTCAAGATATCATCACCTTCATAAAAAAATAGATCATACAAAGGTTTGGCATCCCAGAATCAATCACAACTGACAGAGGATCTTTTTTCATATCTGGAGAGATGCTGGATATGGCAGAAGCATTCAAATTCAAGCTGCTTTAATCCACTCCTTATTATGCCCAAGCTAATAGACAGGCAGAATCAAGTAACAAGGTGATCATCAACATTATCAGAAAAATGCTTGAGAAAAATCCAAAGCAATGGCATGAGAAGTTATCAGAAACCCTATGGGCATATAGGATTTCAAAAAGAGAAGCAACTGGCATGACCCCATATGGTAATGACGCAATTCTGTCTATGGAAGTAGCAGTCCAGTCTCTCATAATTGTTCATCAGCATAATCTGGTTGGAGAAGACTACTATCAAGCCATGCTGCTATAACTGGAAGGATTGGATGCAAGTAGGATTGATACCCTCAACAGACTCTTAGCAGGAAAACAGGCTGTATCAAGGGTCTACAACAAGAGACTTAGAAACAAGAGTTTTGAAGAAGGAGAAATAGTCTAGAAAGCAGTACTGCCCCTTGGAACACATATAGCTGGTTATGGAAAGTGGTCACCTACATGGGAAGACCCCTTCATAATTAAGCAAATTCTCGGAATTGGGGCATACAAATTACAAGATCGAGATGGAGATGTTCATGCTGCACCAATTAATGGCAAGTGGTTGAAGAAATTCTATCCAACCATGTGGGATTCATAGGCTGTACAAACAGATCCTGGAATAGAGAGGGAACAAAATGAAACGATTATCTAAATCTTTGTTCGGAGTTTGTCTTATATTGTAATTTGTTAAAGTTTTTTACTTTTTCTGCTTTCTTTTGTTTTGATAAGGAAAATTGCGAATGAGAAAGAATTCCACAAAAGATAACTTTTATTAAATATAGTCATTTTCCATGACTAAAGTTTATTACATTTCTAAAAATGTAGAATCTAAAGTCCTAGTTTTCTAAGAGTTTCTTGCAGCCCGGTCTTCTTGGTAGAAATCTCTTGCTGAAGGAGCATCCCTTGATGGAGAGAGGCTTCTACAATCTCCAATGCCGGCCTAGAAGCTGCTACCATGTTCTGCACAAGGAAAGTGGCCTTGGTCTTGGTGCCTAGTCTAGCCTCGAGTTTGTTCTGCCTCTCCCTCAGCCTAGCCAGCTGTTTCTGAAGTTCTTCAATCTGTTTCTCCAGCTTGTCAGCAGCAGTCTTAGCTTCCTTATAGCCTGCAACCATTTGGTCCAATTCTGTTTTCTGCTTAGCATAGTCAGCCAAGTTGGCTTCATGAGTAGCCTTGTAGAACTCGGATGCTTTAAAGGAAGGCTTGAGATCCTCATAGCGGTTATGGAGGTTCAGTACATCCCTCGCTAGACCCAAGTTGAGCTCAAGGATGGGCATGGGAGCCATGTTCTCCCTATGCAGCTAGTCCAGATCTTTCATTAGTTGGTCCACAGCCTCTTGATTTTTGTCCAAATCTAGTTCAGTGGACTGCCAGATCTTCATTCTATCCACCGCCTTGGATTTTGCCTTGCCAGAAGTGGAGCTAAGCTTCTCTAGTTTGTCCAGCTGAGCATCCAAGTCCATAGCTTCAAACTCTGCCAATTCTGGATCATCAAAGGAAGCCGTAGTAGGTGAGCCTGGAAAAGAGTGGATGGGCATCTACAAGGAAAACTCAAGTCAGTTCCATGCAAAATTTTGGTGCCAAGAAAAAATCAAGAATAAGTAAGGTACTTACAGCTACAAAAGGAGGCTTGAAGGGACTGGTCACCACAGATAGGACCCCAATAATCTTGTTCTCGGCTACCTGAAAAGACAGTAACAAATTAGGAAATGTCAAGATGAACAGAAATAAGAAGAAAAGACAACCACCAAAAAAAAAAAAAAAAAAAAAAAAAAAAAAAAAAAAAAAATACCTAAGGAACAGGAACTACAACAAAAGTGTTCTGCCTCTACCTCAAGCTCCGGGGGCAGCAATAGAATGTTCTGCCTCCACGTCATCAAACAAGGCCAATTATGAACTTATGGGTTCTGCCGTCTGAGCTTTTTGGCCAAGACAATGCTTTTTGCTATTACCTCAGCAGGAATCTCCTTCTACAGATAAACAGAAGTCAAATGTTATAAGAGAGAGTCAACACAAAAATTCATACAGCAAGTAAAAGAGTCTCACATATTCTTTAGGCTCTTTGTCCTTCTCTTTTAGAGGGACATCTTCTTTTTCTTCTTGTCCTTTCTCCTGCTCAACACCTTTAAAAGCCTCTTGCAGCTCATCATCAGTTCCAGAAGTTTCGGTAGGAACAGCTACAGGCTCTTCAATATCGTCAGACTCAACTCCAGTCCTCTTTCTAGCCTTTTTTCACCTAGTGGCAGGTGGAGGAGGGCTTTCAACTGCACAGAACAAAAAACAAAAGTTAGAAGAATAGACAGAACACGACAGATTCAAAGAGTAGGGCAAAATGTCAAAATCTTACCAGAAGGGCAGAATTGAACCTATGCAAACAGAACAAAGGAAAAGAGGTTGAATGGAGAATATACCTTCAATAACTTGCGCATTAATATCCTTAATCATCTACACCATAAAGCTCTTGGCCTCTGCCCCTGCATAGACTGTCTAAGAGTCCCAGCCATCAAAAAGCACCTTGAGGGCAGTGCTTGAGGCAGAAAAACCTTGGAACCTAGCCTTCCACCAAGCGTCAAAATCAGTAGAACTGCAGGAATTAGGCTCCCACGAGGGGTAGAGAGCATCCACACTGTGGTTAATTTTATTTACCGAACATCTGCAGTTCGTATGTACGTCCAAGTCGTCTGAATCCCTCCAAGAGGTAGCACGGTTGCAGCTCCGGTATGACTTGAGAGGAATTAGCTTAGGGCAGCCAAATTGCTGAGCACAGAAATTAGGATGATACATTTCTGCCCCCAAATGATAGTTAGGACGTTTCCCTCCACCAAATGGCATATCCCGAGGCAACATCACACTCAGGAATTTCTTCCTAAATTTAATTCTTTCTTCTTTTTCTTCTGGCTCTTTCTCAAAGAGCCTGTATCCAGGCTGAAACCAGGCGTAGATCCTCCTAAGCACTGCTTGCCACAGTACAACAGATCTCTTGGTATAGTGCCTGAAGAACATCAAGTATTCCTCAATGGAACGCTTGGGCACCTCTGTTGACATCAACAAATGAGCCATGACCTAGTCTTCAGGGAGAACAATGTCTGGAAACCTCAGTTCTGGGAAGTACACTTGCAACCAGACCTGAATCATCCAAAATGCGCAAGGGCTGACAGATTCAGCGGATTCTCCAAAGTAGCGGTATGAAGGTTCTTGTATAAATGAGCTAGAACCGTAAGCCCAAGCCCCACATCCGTGTGATTATTGGCCTTTTCCAAATGTCTGTACTCAAGCAGAACTGCAGAGGAACAGTTGGGGAAGATAAACCTGTTCAGCCAATAAAGAAGGAACAACATGTGTTGCTGATCTCTATCTTTCTCAGTGCTGAATTTCTTCAGATAGTTGGAAAACGAGCAATTCTGGTTAATGGTGGCAGTAGAGATGGTGAAGGGCCTGGACAATTTCTCCTGATTTTTCCTTCTATGATAATCACCAACAGCATCAACAGGCCTTCCATGAGGCCTAAACCCAAAGATCTGAGCCATGTCCAGCAGAGTTGGAGTCATCGGGCCTAGGCGGAAGTCAAAGGTGTTGCTGGCAGAGTTCCAGAAACATAGAGCAGCAGCCAGAAGGTTCTCATCTCTATTAATAGAGTGCCTGGACAAAAGAATTGCATCGTAGATACCAGACCTCTTCCAGTGAGTTCCGTGCCTAGGAAGAAGCCTGTCAATCCAGTCTGACCATTTCACCGCACTATTCCTCACTTCGCTTGAAGGAAACGAGTGACTCAGGTTTTTGCTAACCCAGGTATGAGAAGCCAGAGAAGTGGAGCTTTGATAACACAGAGGGGCCTCAGCATCATCCCTAAACAAGATGGCCATCTCCTTCGGTACAGGACCAAACTAATGAGGACCCAGAACAAGGGTGTTCTCAAAAAGATGGAGTACGTTCTCATCCAAATTCTTTTGCGTGAAAGGATATAGCTTGCTTCAAACCTCTATTGCATGATTGTCGACACCATCTCCAGTGAGATAGACAGGAGAGCATGAGGAAGAGGAACCCTTAGCACGAGTGTTTGGAGAAGACATTTTTTTTCTCTCTCTCTAGAATCAGACGAACATAAGGGGATTGAAAGGGACAAAAGCAAAAGAACAGAAGTTTTTCGAAAGAAATGAAAGCTGAGACAGAGCTAGGTTTTTTATGAACAGTAATGAAGTTCGGGAAATGCTTATAAGCTAAAACAGGAAGATCGAGGGAGAGAAGGAAGGAAGAGGTTTTTTTAGATTTAATTAGCCATTAGATCCCATTTCCCCCACGAAGCCTAAATTGAAGAGGCCGACGTGCGCTAGTGCAACGGCAGGAAATGGCGTGCATCATTAATGGGCCAATCATTAAGTCTGAAACCGTTTTAAAATGGTTTAGACTTAAGGGGGCATTGTTTGGGCCAAAAGGAATCGCATGCCAGCCCACTTCTCACAAAGGCCCACGGAGACGAAGAACTGGGCTTTAATTTAGAAATAAAAGGAAGCCCAAAAGCCAAATTAAATAGGCCCATGATTTTTACAAAAGGCAATCAATCACCAAAGCAGATCAATAAAAATTGAAAGAAATTTGATGGGGCCCAGCTTTTGGCTCACCACTGATCTCAAAACCCAGAGTGCAAAATTAGCAAATCTTTTTGAAAGCCTATTCTCAGAACCCACGTGACTACTTGACTTAGAAAAGTCAACAATTTCAACTATCACAAAGGGTTGATTGGAAATTAAATGAAAGCAGGTCAGTAGCAAAAAGACTTCTCTGAATCTCTGCCACCAGAAGATCAAAACCTCTTATATATTCAAAGATATTGTTTCTGCTCCAAAGAAGGCACCATCTTTCAAGGGATACGCAGGTTATGCTTTCTAGAAAGAGATGGGCAGGAAACAGGTAGTTGTTCAAACTGGAAATCAAACTAAAACCGTCACAGTTTGAACTCTTACAGGCGAAAGTTAAATTGAAAGAAGGGTTAGGATTTTCTTTCAAGAAAATATAGGGAAGTGATGGCTTTAAGAACTTACTGATGAGAGCTTATCTGCCAGAATTGATAAAATCCCTTCTTTTTCTTTGCATTTAAAAAGTAAGAGATCTTTTGAGAATTTTTGCCGCCCATTATTAAAAGAATTAGAAACCCTACTCCAAAACATTTCTTATAAATATAAGAGAGGGTGAACAGAGCAAGACACTCGACAATCAATCAAACAACCAAAAACTCAACCCAAGACAAGAACTCAAAATGATCACTTGATCCTTGAGAACCCTCAAACAAACTAAAGCAACCAAAAGCTCATTCAAGCCACAGAAGAAGCCAGCTATAAAATCAGGACTTCCAAGTTCAGACTTAGAAAATAAGTCATTCAAAACGAGATTCCTCTCGTTACACATTTGGTTCAGCAAAAACCAAAACAAGCAGAGTTCGAGTTTTCACAAATATGAAAACCTCAACAAATTTATGGAGAGCCCCGACCAAGCAGAAAATGTATCATAGTGTAGTTCCGGCTTAATAATCTTCAAGTCCAGCCACTTCTGCCCCATTCAGAACAAAGAAGTTGCAGTTCTGCCTGTTCAAAAAGCCTTCCAGGGCTTGAAATATATTAAAGCTCTGCCAAACTCAAACTTTGGTATCGATTTACAACTGAAACTTAGCAGTTGAAGTTGTTGACAGTTCAGTCCAGCACAGACATACCCAGTCTAGCCTGGATCAGAAACATCTATCTAGGCAGAAATGGAATTCCAGCTTTCTTTTTGTCTTTCTAGAGTTGGTTTTCTTTCTTTCTAGTTTTGTAAAATGCATACATAACTCTAGACCAGCAAACTCTTGTGTATCCAAAGGAATATATGGGAAGATCAGGTTAGAGGTGTAGGTAATGCTTCTAGGTTACATATTTCTCACTTTGGCTCAAATACTGTTAACATTGATTTTTTCAAATTTCATCTCAATGACATATTACACTGTCCTTCCACCTCCACAAACTTAATTTATGTTCATCTCTTTACCTTTGATAACCATTGTTATATTCTCGTGTTTCCTGATTGTTTTGTTGTGAAGGACCTCAAAACTCGAAAGACGCTTTTCCAAGGGAGATGTGAGAATGGATTATATCCATTACATGATGGCCATGGACTATCCAATAAATCTTTTTCAGCATTCGTAGGCACAAGGGTAACCACAAAGCAATGGCATTTTTGGCTTGGTCATCCAGCTAGTGTAGTCGTTAGGTTTTTAATTTCAAATAAACAAGTGCCAATTAGTGGCACCTCTGCTGTAAGTTTATGTCATTCCTGTCCATTAGGCAAAAGTACTAAGTTTTCGTTTAGTTAGTCAAGTTTAGTTTCAAATTTTCCCTTAGATCTTGTACACTCTGATGTTTAGAGTTCTCCAATTGTTTCAGTCCAAGCTTATTGTTATTACTTGCTATTTGTAGATGATTTTTTCAGATATTCTTGGATCTTCCCCATGAAATATAAGCATGAAGTCTTTGTTCTTTTCATTTGGTTTAAGAAATATGTTGAAAATATGTTAAATACCACCATTAAATCCTTACAATGTGATGAAGGAGGAGAGTATACCAAGCATGCATTTCAAAAATACCTTGTTGATCATGGCATAGTCAAACGTTTCTCATGTCCTAAACATCCTGAGCAAAATGGGTTAGCACAAAGAAAACATAGGCATCTTGTTGAAACTGGTATAGTCCTTCTCTCTCATGTGTCTGTCCCCACTTCCTATTGGTTTGATGCGTTCCAAACTGCCACATATATCATAAATCGATTGCCTACTGGGGTGTTGTCTAATAAGTCTCCTTTCCAAACACTATTTCTTAAAAATCCTACTTATGATATGTTTAAGGTCTTTGGTTGTACCTGTTTTCCATGGTTGACTCTGTATACTACAAATAAACTTCAAAATAAATCCAAATCATGTGTCTTTCTAGGATATTCACTGAATCATCAAGGTTATAAGTGCTTGGATTTGTCCACGAGACGAATTTATGTGTCTCGCCATCTCCTATTCGATGAGGACTCATTTCCATTCAAGGATCTCACATCTTCTAAAGGGGGCGGCTTCTCTTCAAGTAACTCTAATCCTGATGCTTTATTTGTTTTCCACGAGTCTACTAATGAGGTTGTTGTTCCAAGAGTGTGTCAACCATCTCCACCACTAAATATTTCACCCACCACCCAAATTTCACAAGACACCCAACCCCTTGCCTCTCATCTTCCTCAAGTTTCTCCACCAAATCCCACTATCCATGTTCTAGTGCAAGAATCTATCCCTCAAAATCTAAGTGAACCAATGCATGAAGGAGGTGTTTCTTCTATAGCTGATACGACATCATTACAACCCCTATGTAGTCACATATGGTGACTCGGTCTCAGCTCAGTGTTCGCAAGCCTAATCCCAAGTATGCCCTGAACGCAACAATTGATGTTACATACCATGAGCCCATATGCTATAGTCAAGCAGTAAAACATGTAAAATGGAGGCAATCCATGAGTCAAGAATTTAGTGCCTTACAACGAAATGGAACCTGGTCTCTTGTGCCATATCAATCTCACGTGAACCTGTTGCCAAATAAATGGGTATTTAAGATTAAAAGAAAATCAAATGGCCCGATTAAGAGGTACAAAGCCAGGTTAGTTGCAAATGGCTTTCATCAAAAGGAGGGAATTGATTATAGTGAGACCTTTAGTCTAGTTGTGAAACATAGTACTATTCGTTTGGTTCTGAGTTTGGCAGTCTCGAATAAATGGCCGGTATGACAACTAGATGTGCAGAATGCATTCTTGCATGGTTTCCTCACAGAAGACGTGCATATGCGACAACCTGCTGGTTTTATTGATTCACAGCTTCCTCAACATGTGTGCAAGCTGCAACACAGTCTCTATGGGTTGAAACAAGTGCCCAGAGCTTGGTTTTAACGGTTTTCTGACAATTTACTTGAACTTGGTTTCCAAGAATCAAAGTGTGATTATTCCTTTGTTGTCTACAAAAAAAACCGTTGTATGATCACCTGTCACAAAAAATGGTTGTAGCATCACCTTGAACATGATTAATACTCTTTAAAATCCTCCTTATCCAAATTGCTTGGCAAGCACACGAAGCTGCTGAGACGAATTCAGCTTTAGTGGTAGACAAAGTGACTATTGGTTGTTTCTTCGAAGACCAAGAAACAGCTTCTGAACTCAACAAAAAAACATAACTTGACGTACTCTTTCTGTCATCTACATCTCCAACATAGTCACTATCTGTATAGGCAAGTAGCTCCTCTTTTCCTCCCTTAGTATAACATATTCCAAAAACTGAAGTTTCTTTCAAATACCTTAACACTCTTTTAGCTGCTTGCAAATGAAGCTCTATGGGTCGTTCCATATACCTGCTAAGAAGACTAACTACAAACATAATATCTGGTCGAGTAGTAGTCAGATACATTAGACCGCCAACTACTTGTTTGTAACGACTATTGTCCACCCTTACTCCATTCTCATTTTTCATTAGTTTGCAACCTAGAACAATTGGATTATGAACAAGATTGCATTTATCCATATCAAATCTTTCCAACACTCTGTGTGTATACTTCTTTTAACAGAGAAAAATACCTTTAGTTTTTTGCATCACTTCTATACCAAGGAAATATCTCATTTTTCCAAGGTTTGTCATGTCAAACTCTTGCATCATTTAATTCTTAAATGCAACAAAATGTTCTCATCATTGCCCATAAAGATCAAATCATCAACATAGAGACAAACAAAGAGAAATTTACCTCTTTCTTCTGCTTTGGTGAACAACGTATGCTCATGAGGACACCACTCGAAACCTTCCTTGGCAAAATAGGATTCTATCCGACTATAACAAGCTTGTGGAGCTTATTTTAGTCTGTATAGTGCCTTCTTTAGCTTGTATACTTTATGTTCCTCACCCTTCTTCTCATAACCAAGAGGTTGCTCGACGAAGGCCTCTTCCCTATGTTCTCCATGGAGGAAGGCTGACTTTACAACTAGTTGAAAGATCACCCATTTTTGCATAAACCCCAGGATTTTTGTAAAAGAAAGAGGGACAAGTGACAAGGGACTTGAGTGACTCGCCCTAATAAAAAAGCGGGAGAGGGGCAAATAAACTCGATTAGCTACTAGAGATGAGCAAGGGCCAGGGACGCGCTCGACGATTGCTAAGTTGCAAGAGAAACCACCAGACGAACCGTCTCCGATCGTGCTACAGGTGCAAAAACCTCAGTGTAGTCCATACCATGTTTTTGGGTGTACCTTTTTGCAACCAACCGAGCTCTATACTTCTCCACCTTACCATTTTCATTGAATTTTGTCTTATACACCCATTTCACGCCAACCTTCTTTGCTCCAATAGGCAAGTCTGCTAATTCCCAAGTATCATTTTTCTTTATAGCTTCAATCTCCACATCCATCGTTGTTCTTCACTCTGCATCTTTTACTGTCTCTTCGAATAGAACTGGATATCATTGGCTACAAACATGGCCAAATATGTCATGTCTTCTTCCTCGGATAATCCTTTTCCACTTACATAATCCTCCATCTAGCTTAGTTGCTTTTTCTGCCTTTGCTCACGAGATCTAAGTGAAGGAACTTCACCTGAGTCACCTGAGTTAGACATATTGCCTTCATCTGTCCCATTGAAGCCTTCAGTTTCAGCATCATCTCTATTTCGAGCATTTGCATCCGGTTCTTTGTTATTGTCAGTCTAATCCAAATCAGCCAAAATGACTTCCTCGTGACTTTTATCCTAGTCCCAGCTGCTGTCTTCTTTGAACACCACATCCTTGCTTATTATAATCTTATGAGAAATGGGATTATACAACCTATATGCCGTTGACTCTTCACTTACTCCAAGTAAAACACATCTTACACTCTTTTCATTAAGCTTTGTCCTCTTGCAATCAGAAACATGAACATGAGATACACACCCAAACTCCCTGAAATGATCCACTGCTGGTTTGAATCCACTCCAAGCTTCTTTTGGAGTTTTGTTCTTCACTGCAAGAGTTGGGCTCCTGTTGAGGACATGAATTGTCCAATTCACAGCTTTAGGCCAAATTTTTTGGGAATCTTCTTTCCTGAAAGCATACTTCAAACCATATTCATGATAGTTTGATTCTTCCTTTCCACAACTCCGTTTTATTGAGGAGTGTATGCGGCTGTTAATTGTCTTCAAATACCATTCTCACTGCAAAAATTAGTGAATTCAAGTGACATAAACTCACCCCCATGATCAATACGAAGACATTTTATAGTCGAACCCGACTCCTTTTCAACACGACTCTTATATTTCTTGAAGGTAAGAAATGCTTCAGGCTTTTCAGCCAAAAAATAAACTCGAATTTTTTTACTATAGTCATCAATAAAACTTATCATGTACCTTCTGTTGTTGTTGGACATAGGGCTAATTGGTCCACATGTATCTTTAACACCCCAACTCCAAATTATTCCCTATTTTAATTTAATTAATGAATTTACGGAATTGCCCTTACGATGAGGGTAATTTGGTCATTTTCTTATTTGAAGGATTTTTGGGCCACGGGTGGTTTGGTTGCGTAGGTGGCTCTGAGATGAATTCGTAGACAGGCGGTAGGCTTGAATCCGAGTGATCAAACTACTTTTGGTGGCAAAATCGTAAATAATTCGAAAAGGGTATTAGTAAAAATCAGATTTTTCAATTTCACCTCACCTTCTCTCTCTCTCCCGTGCGTCTTCTCTCTCTCCCGCGAACTCTCTCCCTCGTCACTGTTCACCCGAACGGAAACAGCCACCCCGCCGCCACATCCGACCACCCCAGCCTTCGAGACCGGTCCCGTTCGACTAGTCGTGAAGCCCCGATCTTGAACCACCCAAAATCCCGATCGGAAAGCTCCAGAACCGCCGGCAGTTTCGACTGGTTCGAGCCGGACTTTTCCGATCGTTGCGCCGCCGCCTCCGCCATCCATTTCAGGTAAAATTGGTGGGGTTTCTCTCTCTTTTTACGTGTTCTAGCTGGCTGTTGCATACGAATTGTTCAATTTGCTGTTTAGAATCCGATTTGAGAAGCTAGGTTTTGGCCGGTTTTCAATTTGAAATTCCGGCCAGTGCCCATACGAATTGGACTTCGTGGTAGTGGATTAAAGTGATCCTGATCTTGAGAAGAAGCTAGGGTAGAAAGAGTGAGCGTTGGTGGGGAGATTTTCCGTCGTCGGAAATTACTCTGCACACCCACGTGCTACCGGCGCGTGTGGCGGCGCATGGGCAAGAGTGGTGGAGCTGAATTATGTCCTGATGAGATCCTTAGGTTGTCATGAGCGCGTAGAATTTTGCGGATTTCAAAACAGAGGTCGTGGGTCTTGTGGACCCAGTTGACCCGATTTGGGAAGTTTGACCGCCCGGTTGACCAAATGTCTCCGGAGGCTTTTCCATCGTCCGATTTGGGTAGTTGGACCTTAGAATGTCTCTTTCCGCGTACACTCACTAGGAACCCGGGAAACTAGGTTTTTAATTCAAAATTCTGTTTCGAAGCGCTTGATGTTAATCGCATGATCGTTTTCTGAAATAGGTACTCCGACCACACATATGCAGCAGGCGGGGCCCTCTCAGGGTCAAGCAGCGTGGGACTACTTGTGAGTGGACTTTGTTTTTACATAATATGCATGGTTTTATGATGGGAAACTTTATGCATAATGTTTATTGGTATATTTGGATATATTATTTATTCCATGGTGGAAATTGATATTTTTATGAAGTATTGGCTATGTATGGGGTACTTGGGGTACTTGGGTTGTTAAAATGAGTTTGTGGGAAGGTTTGAGTTTTGAAATATCTGTTTGGAGTGCTTTAAGCACTACCCTATGTACCTCCCCGGATTTGGAACTTGGTTACATATTTATACATATGAATATTCATTCGTTCTTGTTTCTCGGTAAGGATACTTCCTCGCCGGTCGTGCCAGTGGGTACGTTTTCGAGAGTTTAATCTTTCGGGACTTTTAAGTTTTGAATGGTGGGTTTGTGAAGTGTTGTTCACGGATTTCGGACTTGGTATCCGGTATTATTTTAGTATATGTTCATATACTTGCTTATGACGATTTTAAGATGCATTTGGAATTCTTGCATAATTTTCTAACGGTGGGGTTATATTACGTTGATTTATTTGAACTGAACTTTATTTTTGTCCACTCACAATTTTCTGTTTTGCGCCCCCCAGCCAGTAGTGACTGAGCTCCGCAGTCGAGCAAGATCGGGTGCTTCCGAACCTTGAGTCTTTGTAGGGACTCCTTCATCTTTCTTTTCCAGTGGAACTCTGTTTATGTTGTATTTGAATTTCTTAGATATGCTCTGTATCGCCCGCTTAGGGTTTGAATTGTGAGGTCAGTGGCCTTTGTTGTAAATTGTTTAACTGCTTTTAAAGCATGTTGCTGGTTGGGTTTATTAACTGTAAATTTTGAGCAGGTTGAAGTTTGGGAAATGTTCAATTTACAGAGGAGACTCTGCCAAATTTTTGGTAGAAAGTCTCGGTCTTTAGTAAGTGGGCCCGGCATCGGGGTGATGTCGGTAATTAGGTAGGGTCCGTCCCGGTTTCCGAGGAAATTCGAGGCAGGTCCTGTCAGTATCAGCATGCACCAGCTCAAGAATTTGATAAGCTCTCCATGTGCTTTCTCTGGGAAATGGATCTCTCCGTTGCTTTCCCACCAAGCAATCCTCACATGCCTTCGACGAGGTATCAAGACAAGGCAGTCCTCTTACCATCTCCTTTTGTTGAAGAATTTTCGGACCATTAAAGCTTAGATGATTGTATCTGCAGTGCCAAAGTTGGGCTAGATCTTCCATGAAAGAATGAAAACAAGCTTCCTCCTTTGGTTGTGTATGAGCAAACAGTTTGAACATTCGATTCAAGGACATTGTAACCTCCATTATTAAACCCTTCTCAAGATGATAAATTTTGCATGATCCTCTTTGTATGAGAATTTTAAGTCCCTTGTCAGCTAGCTGCCCAATGCTTATCAAACTATTTTGCAATCCAAGAACATAAAATATGCCTGTAATAATATGTACAAAACCATTCACCAGCATACGCACATTACCTTTACCCATCACGTCCATGCTTGAATTATCTCCCAATTTCATTCTCTCTGAAATCTCCATCAAAATCTTAGAAAAACTCCCTCTTGCCACACATGTGATTGTTGTATCCAGAGTCTAGAAACCACAATTCTTCCTTGATTGCTTCGTTTTCTCCCACGTACGCCATTAACAATATTTCTTGATTACCTTCTGCATAGTTTGCTTTTGCTTTTGTCTCCTTCTTTGGACATTCATATTGAAAATGTCCAAGTTGATGGCAGTTATAGCATTTGATGATGGATTTGTCAAAGTTACACCTACCTCTTCCTCTTCTTCGTTCTCAAAAACCACCACGACCTCGTCCTTTTTCTCCAAATGACTCTCCAAAAGTGACTTTCAAAGTGTGTTCTTCCACAACATGAGCTTTCAGACATTGCTCATGTACTAGAAGGCTACTTTGTAACTCACCAATGGTAAGAGCATCCAAATCGTTTGACTCCTCAATAGAGCACACCACGTAATCGTACTTGGCTATCATGGATCTCAAAATCTTCTCGATGACTGCGACATCATCCATCTTTCCCTTATCAACCCTCAGCTTGTTGACCACTGAAAGAGTACGAGCAAAATACTCTTTCACAGACTCTCCTATCTTCATGTTCAGCATCTCAAACTCCTTTTGGAAGGCTTGTCGTTGCGCCCTCTGCACTCGTTTTGTCCCTTGATATTTCTGTTAGTATGAAAATTGTATTGGCATTTCCTAGACTCTAGCATAGGTTGGGAATCAATGTGTGAATATCTTTTACTGGAAGTTTTGGCGCAACACATTTAATCTTGGATTTTCGAAGTACGACTTGATCAATATGAGGAACTTGATTTTAGGTAAATCATGACATAATCATGCATTCATTATAGGATTCCTAGTTTGAGTTATTTTCACTCAAGCACTTTGATGTAGTCCTATTTTTAATAGGATTAGATTTTTATCTCTTGAGATTACTCTCCTAGTTGGACTCTATTTTCCTTTAAGTTAAAATATTATCTTTTCCTATTATGACTTGCACGTTGAAATCATCTCCTACTTGATTGGTCTAATTAATTTGTTTAGGTAGATATTGTTTCTCCCTTAAAAGATTGGCTGTAGTGGAAGTCATTAGGTTTCCTCACATCTTGCATTAATTGGTGTCATCACATAGCATCTAAAGTGAATCAAAACTAATGTTCATAATTGGATAGTATATTGGTCTCATGTTTTGACTTTTTTCACTAGAGTCCATATTGAGTTCAATGTGACAGTCATAATTATTTTGGACTCTTGTACTTCCATCTGACTAGGGAGAGGCAGTTTTGAATAAAAGTAGAGTGCCTCTTTTTTGAGAGGTACGGCTTTTAACATTTGTGTTGAGCATATAGAGTTCTTAAGAAAGAGCTGTTGTGCATATCTTCGAGACAGGTCATCAAGTGTTCTTGTTTTTACTTGGTGATTTATCAAATCTTTACATTATTCATATTGCATTCATATGCATGTCGGTGACTCATACAGTTGAGGGCACCAAGATCGTTGTGACAGTTTTCCTCGGACGAGCTTGAAGCAATCGTGACCAGTATTGCGTTCAACATAAGGAGTGTCGAAGATCATCCCGTGATAAAAGTTGAGTTACGAATAAGTCGGTAAACATTATGTAGAATGTGTCTAGGATAAGTGTGTAAGTACTTCTCGTAATCATCGTTCTGTAGTGGATTTGTGTTGGACTGAGGAGTCTTGTGGATTTTCCCCAGAGGCAGGGTTTTACCACGTAAAATAATTCTCTGCGTGCTCCGTTATTTTATGTTCAGCATGTTTCATGATTGATAAGCCATATCAATCCTGCTACCGAAGCTTATTTTTTGTTTATTGATTATAATCTTAAATTGGCCTATTCACCCCTCTCTAGGCTTTTGTAATCATCCTACAGGTAATTTCAATTTCTACTTCAAGGAATCCCAAATACTTTTGGTTGTATCCTTGTTCAAGATTGTCTCCAAAATTGATCGATCTATTGCTTGGAAGAGATAATTCTTCGTCTTCATATCCTTCAACTTTGCGTCATCAATGACCTTTCTCTGTGCTTCAGTGAGTTGAACTCCTTCTACTTCTGCAGGAATTCCATCTTCCACCAGACTCCAATATTCTTTCGAACGCAAGAAATTCTCCATGAGAATACACCAATGGTCAAAATGCCCATCAAATTTCGGAATCACTGGTTGCACAAATCCACTCTCAGTCACCATAATCTTGTCATAAAGAACATAGAAGACTGCTGCTCTGAAAACCAATCAGGCCCCTGTGAAGGAGCTCTGATACCAATTGTTAGAAACTCTTTGTGTATGTTTAAGAAACATAAACAAACTTGGAGGAATATCGTCTTATTCAACTAAACAACTTGGTTGGCTATATAGCCTTACAAAATAACAGAAAGAGGTAAAATTGCAGCCCACGTTTTACAAACTTATTAACGTGGTAGGAGACTAAGGATAAAACAAACAAACAACTTATCCCTAAAGAATAGGGATTTTGCATACCACTAAGCAACTAACTGAAGCAAATACTAACGACTAATAATTTCAACATGGTATGGCTAGGTTTTGCAAGGAAGTAATTGATGCTGCAATTGGAGAAGAGGAGAAGACTCTGCTCGCTGGCTCGCTAGGATATTTGGGCAGTTTTTAATTTTTCTAATTTTTAAAATTGTCAAATAAAAAAGTTAATAGAGTTATATTAGTTGACATGTGTAAGCAAATTAGAAAGGGGACATGGAGCGGACAACAAATCCCATTGAAGGGGGAAATTGATAAATATTTTTATGTATTCTTCTAATACCATGTATTTTATTACTTTATATTTTACTCTTTTATTTTAAAAAATTTCCTATTATTTTATTAATATATTTTATTTAATTAAATAAAATAAAAAATAGGAGACTAGAAATGAAAGTATCCTTCTCACATCCATTCTCTGTCACATTGTCGGAACAAAAATATCGTATGTATCAATATGGATGGAAATATTTAGTACATGAAATAGTTATTTGCTAGATATATAAATAGATAGATAAGATATAACTAATAAAATAAATAAAATAAAAATTGATCCTGTGTTTTGGAATTGGAATCAAAGAAAGATATTTAAAAAGGTATGACTTGTAATAAATGTTTCTCTGTAAATGAGGGGAATAATAATTTATTCATTCCTAATTTATTCCCTTCCTATAGAACATCTGGGAACAAGAGGATTTAATCGGATATATTGACAGATTCCCACATAGTCCAAAGAAAAAAAAGATCAAATTTCATCTCTATCAGAATAGTGGATATAATTATGATGCAATGGGTTAGGTCCACTTACTTTTTCTTTTATTGATTTCTAATCGATTTAATTGGAAAATAGGAAAGGAATATTTTAAGATTCAAGAAGACGACTTATCCTTATTCATTATAATACCAAATTAATAACCATACTATAATTCATTATAATGTTATAATTTTATTAAGAGTTCATGGTTCATTTGTCACATGGTTCACAAATCTTCATTAATAGCAGTTCTATCCAAAGTTCATATTAGATTAATCTTAATTCATTGTGTGGGAACACATATTTTCAACAACCATTAAAATGTGACACGTGGAAAAAGGAATATTTCTTAGGTCAATTAATTGTGCTAATTAAATCTCATTTAATTTGGCAATTATCGTTAATTGAAGATAGAAATATCTCCCCAACTCAAGGATCCAATTTCCAGCAAATGTCCTTGATTTATCCTATCACCTATTTTTGGGTTAGAATAATCCTAATTAAATAGAGATTATTCTTCAAACCCTAGCCAAGCAAGGGGGTTATAAATAGATGGCATCTCGTTACACTTGAGGTAATTTTGAAACCTTAAAGAACTCTCTCTCTCCCCCACATGGCTTCGGCCACCCAGCTCTCCCCGTGAGAGAAAACTCAATCTATTCAGTTTTTGATGCATCTTCTAAGACCCCTTTTATTGACTTAGGCATCGGAGAGTTGTTGGCAAACACGGGTGTGCTCCATTGACCCGATTTATTAAGTGTTTTAAGTGTCCGAGTTTATATGGAATATGAAAACCCCTTAGTACCTCATAAATGCATAACCAATTTAATTCATCTCAATATTAAAGACATGAGTTTCTTCAACTTGGTTAAGTTACAATACCATATTCATAATTTTTTTATGGTGGAACGTACTAATTGTACAACACTAATAAAGTCCAATATGGTTTACATGCTAGGTTAGAAAGTTTGTTGTTATCAACAATGTTTTTGTACAATAATAGGAAACACTATTTAATTAAGTAGTTGTTGTATGTTTTTGTATTCTTAAACAGTATTCTATGTTTCTAGAGATTTTATTTTAGAAAAAAAAATGAAATCAATAAGTTATGAATTCTAACATATATGTCCCACAATTTTATAAGTTATGACAGCAACATACAACTAATCGAATCAATAAGCATCACACTTGCCTAGCTAGTCATCGACTTGTAGGAGAAGTAAAGGGGGTCACTCTCTCGCTAGCGAGGAAAGCCGAGTGAAAAAATTAGGGTTAGGTTTCCTTCCACGTTGAGTCGATGTATTCTCTCTTTGTTTTGATTCCAAGGTGTTGGCGTCATTTCTATCTCACTCAGATTCTAGGCGTTGGTTTCCTCGAGTATCGTATTTTCCCTTTTGGCTTCACGATGTTGCTCATTCGCTCCAACGATATGGGGTCCATGGTTAGGGTTTTGTTGCCCTACCATCCTCACTATTGTTGTTTTTCACTGCTCCTTCTCCACTTTTTTGGCCGCACTTGGTATATTGATTTGGGTTATTGATGTTGTTCATTTTCTTCCCCCTTTTGATATTCTAGGTAGGTTTCTCCTCTGTACGACAACTCTTCCTAGTGTTCGTCCTTGATGTGGTAACCTTTATGGGTCTTTTTCTGCCATCGTGTCTGTGGGTTCCTCGTCCTTGGCCGTTACGACATCTGTTTTTTTATATTGGTAGTTGGAGAAGCCCCTCTACCACCGTCGTGTTTGTGTTAAGATGGAAAGTATAGGGGTTTGACAACCTTCGTAAGTTCCGTAATCTTAAGAATCTTTTTTAGGAGATGAAGCAAGATATTACTTTTATTGCTGAGACTCTAATGATTGTTGTCCAAATGGGAGGTTTGATCAGGAGACTTGGCATGGGTGGTGTGCTGTGAGTTCCTCGTGAGGGTTTATTTGGTGGTTTATGTAGAGTGGTGAGCCATTCATATGCATCCTTGGACAGTATTTTAAGTTCTTCCATGGCCCTTGTAAAGTGGGGGATAGTGGTTGATATGATGCTTCCCAAAACTTGTCTCTCAAGCCTTTTGCTTTGAACTTCATGGAGTAGTTGGTAAAAAGGTGTCTTACACAGAAGCTGTGGTCATAATTAGGGACTGCTTGTTCAAAAGCAGGCAGTAAACCTTTTTGTTTGTCAGATATAAAGGTGAAACCAAATTGATTAATGATCTCACAATCCTTAACCAATAGCTCCATAAACCAAATCCAAGAATCCTGGCACTCTAATTCCACAACTGCATATGAAATCACCCAGGTTTCATTGTTGGTGTTTATACCCACTGCAATTAACAGTTGCCCTGTATAAAAACTCTTCAAAAAGCACCCATCTAAACCTATAATGGGCATGCATCCAGCTTTGAAGCCTTCTTTAGCAGCTCCTAAATAAGCATATAACCTTTGAAACTCTGGTTGCCCTAACTGTTCTTGGAAATCACACTTAACCATTGCTATGGTTCTTGGATTAGTGTTCCTTAATTCTTCACAATAATCCCAAATTCTTGAATATTGTTCATTGAAAGTGCCTCAATCAACTTTAGTGCCTTATCTTTTGCCCTATACACTTGTTGTCTTGACACCCATGTATTATAATCCTTCTCAACAGTCTTCTTGAAAGAGCTGATTGGCCAATGAGGATTGGTCTTCAATGTCTCAACATATTTCTTGCTTATCCAAGTTGACTTGACAGTAAGGTTCTCCCATAACTGTGTACATGTGTGCTCGCCTACATATGTCTTCACTTGCAATGTATTCTTATGTTGCATTTTTGAATCATATATCATCCACTCACAATCTAGGTCCCCACAAACTACCTTCAACTTCAAAGCCTTATTCCTAATAAACACAACATCTCTTTTCTGCAAGATGGAGTGTTCTCTGACAGCTGCCCTAAAAACCTTACAATCAGTAAACAACATGCCAATCTCAAACTTTGTATCTGCCATGTCAGTTGCAGCATTGAACTCTAGCCAATTCTTATCACCTTCATGGTCAGAATTACACTTGGCATAATCCTTGCACTCAGAATATTTAGAATCCAATTCAACATTTGTAGGCCAATCAGGAGCAGCCTCATTCCCAGTTTCTTTAACCCATGTCCATTCAGTTTGGTCATCCACCCATTTTTTTTTAAAAAACATCATCTTCATCTTCACCAAAGTTCTTGGAATTCACATAATCTGAGTCCTCACTATCAGCAGAATCATCATCAAAATCATCAAAATCTGTAGCATTTGTATATCTTCTTCCACTTCTCAACTTCATGGAATCACTTTTGGACTCGGTCCTAATGCCCTTAACTTTTCCTTCCACAACTTTTTTGTCTTTCTGTTGAACATTATTTTTCCTCCTCAAACCCTTGCATCTTTTTTTACCAAAAGCACGCTTGACCCTATGTGACATGTCATCTGTCACTTTATGTTTGTCTTTGCCTTTGTTAGAATAACCCTCATTATTCACAGTGGTATTGATAGTAGCCTTTTCTTTGCCTTGTTTAGAAGCTTGATTAGTCAACCCTTCTTAATTCAACACTTCTTCATTCAACTCTTTGTCTTGTCCACCTGCTTGTTCATTAAACCCTTCTTGATTCAACTCTTCTATTACAACACTTGTTTTTTTACCTCTCCCACTTGGGATACTCCCCTCCCAATTGGAACAATGGCACCATAATTGTCAACAAGCTCTTTAATCACTACCCCAATGTTGGTCCCAAAATCATCATCAAAATTTATAAATATGTTTGAAGCCACTTGACTGTAAAATTGCTCATGACTGCATGCCAACACATGTTCTAAGAATATATTTATCAACCTAGTGTCTGGCACAAATAGTAGCATGTCTAAGACATATGCATCCTCACTCAGCTTAACTAGGCCACCATCAAAATAACCACCTGGAATACTGTACCAGTAGTTAATGATATCTTTGTACCCTAACTCCTTTACCATGCCATCTATCTCAGTCATTGACATTGTATTCTTATCACAATAATCAAACCAATCAACAGACCCATTCACATAATAGTTACCTCTTAGTTCACCATTGTGGTACATTTCAATAGAAAATCCATCCTCATCCCCTGCATGTCAAAAGCCACACATAAATTTTACTAAACAATACATTCACGGTTGTTTACAAATACAAAAAGACACAAATCATTTTCCAAATATATAAGACATAAATCATTTTACCAAACAAAAAGACACAAAAGCCAAACTTTTCATGCCAGTACACACATACACAAAAGGAAAGCATTACTGTCATTGTAGGACCACATACAAAAGCCAAAGTTTACTTTCACATACCACCTACCATTCCATCTACCAATCAAATCAACACAGTAACAATAAGAAACACCTAACTCAAAACTCACAATCAACATCCATTATAAAACCCTTGTTTCCAACATGCAATACACAATTACTCAAGACTCTCTGTTTGCAAGTTTCACTAAAAACACAAACTACCAAGAATCTTAGCACAGTAACCCATAAGTACCATAGAAAGGTTGTCCATATCCTTTGGGATGAAGTGCCCAACTCATATTCTTCAAATATTTCCGAAACCTCCGTTTTCAGTTTGATTTTTGCACTGGATGTAGATTATTTCAAGATTTCGAAGAAACCCTCTCTCAGTCTCTCTCGAAAACTCAGAAACAACCTATTTTTTCCTTTGTTTTGTTCGATTTCATTGTCCAAGCCTTGGATATTAGAACGATAGCCTTGGAAGGTGTGCCCAGCTATGGCTGCGATATCTCCCTTAATTTTTTTTTTCCGAAAATGCCCTTCGTCTGGACTATTTCGACTGACTTGTTAGGTTATGTGGTGGGTCCCACGACTACCACGTCATCATTTAACGTCTGACTTGACGGTCAATGTAACGGTCGATGTAAATTGGTAAGATTTTGAAATGTCAGGTATGAAATTTGATGAAATTAAAACCTTGGGGCCCATTTCGATACTGACCCTAAACCTACAGGGTAAGGGTATTTTTGGAAGGTAGTAGGGAAAAATGGAATTGGATCAACTACTCCTCCTAGTTGATTCGATTCCTGATTTTGAGAGGATGTGATTACGGATTTTGAGGTAGGGCTCGCACATTTTTTCATTCCTGATTGCAAGTAAATGCAGAGGTAGTCTGGAATGGAAATCATTCCCTTTCTTTTCATACCCATTATTGATACATAAATATGCCTTATAAGTTATGAAAATTAATAGCATACAAATTCTGGGTAAAACTATACAATAAAATAACTTTATCTTTCCATGTTTAGTTCAGACCAATGTTATCTCCCCTTCCCTTGCGATTTGGGCTCTCTAATGCTTTGGGGTTTTTCCTAGTTTAATGGAGTTACACATTTTAACCAAATAAATAAATAAATTCCCTAGCCAAATGTTTTTGCATTAAATCGGGATGGGAGATGAAGGTGGCTGGAGGAGATGAGGTATTTTCTTTTTCTTTTTCTAATTTTTTGTTTTCCATTTTAGTTTATTAATTATTTTCTAATTTAATTTTCATTTTTTTATTTGTTTTTGTGAGAATGTGTGAGGTGACAGAAAAATGTATGTAGATTTAAAAAAAGAAAAATGCTAAGGAGACTAACTTTAAATACCAACTTGTGTACAATTTCTCTAATAGAGCGTGTAACCAATTTCTCTAACCCTCCGTTTGGATGAGGGAAAATAACTCGGAATTTAGGTAAAAGTCGGGAATTGAAGAAGAGAAATTGACAATTCCCTTGTTTGGCAACTTAAACCCGGAACTTATTAAATGACGCGTGGAAAAAATCATGGAAATTGAGGTATCAAATTCCCGAGTTTAATTTCCACCAAAATAGGCGTCATTTCACAATTTCCGTAGTGCGGGAATTCATATTTTCCAGTGTGCCAAAACTTACATTAAAAAAAACCCACCAAAAAAAAAAAAAAAAAAAAAAAAAAAAAAAAAAAAAAAAACCCCTGAAACTGAGTATAGCCAGAGAAGTAAAGAGAAGAGAGTTCTTCTTGGGTTAGTATTCAAGCCTTTCTCTCCTTCAATTTATATTTTTTTTATTTTAGGGTTACCATGGTTTTTGAATGGCTATCAAAATTGGGTGTTTTTGACTAAATTTATGAATGTGTTGAATGGGTTTTGTGATCTTTGCGGCACTGTGGCTGGATTTTTGGGAAGTTTTAACAAAATACTCTATGCCCATGGATATTGGTGTGTGATTGGTGTTTATGGTACAACTCTGTAGTTGTTTGCTAGCTTTATCACTTTGTGTTATCGCCTTGCTCTGTAGTTGTTTGTTAGCTTTATCGCTTTGTGTGAGCCATTAGATGTTGATTGTAAGCTACACCAACTTGCTCGTAAGCTGCAGCTTGGCCAAGGTGCTCCTTCATTCTTTGGGACTTAAATTAAGTCTTATGATAGTGATTCATTGATTTCATCATTTATTCCTATACTTTTGTTTGCAACTTTTTAATCAAAGCCCTTTCAGTTTCTCTGGTCATTGGTCTTTTGCCAAGTGAAAAAGAAGTATCATGGTCTTGATTGCTGATTGCTTCTAGTTCTAATTCCATAGTCACTCCCAATGGAGAAAAAAAAAAGTATGTTACTGATGTTCATTGCACGTGGGGAGTGATTTGGTTTGCTAATATGCTTTGTTTGTTTAAGTTGAGTTATTTAGTTCATCAAACGATATGTTATTTCATACTTCGAGGAATACCTTCTATGTCAGTTATCAGTTTTTTTGTTCTTTCGAAATATTTAATTTCTTTCATTTATAATTTACATAAGCTATCCAAACATTGAAAATTTCAATTTCTGTCATTTAAAAAATTCGACATACATAAATCCAAACACTGAAATCTTCAATTACCAGAAATTGAAATGACGGAAATCTAAATTCCGTCATTTTAAAATTCTATGCAATTTGCAATTCCTTCATCCAAACGGAGCATAATAGAGCGTGATCTCCCTAACATGACAATTTAAAAAAATTGACAACCAGTCCAAAATTACCTGTTTTCATATAATTTAAATTCTTAATTTACGGAAAAAAATAATAAGGGGAGTAAATTGACAATTATGACGTAGTTGAGCAGGCAAAACAGCAGTTTAACAATTTCTTAAATTGAATTTGGTATCAAAGTAAGGTTGTTCTATTTAAATCCCCAGGTCGATTTTTCGACTTTGTTCACCTCTTAATCAAAAAAGCTGGAACTTCAATGGCTCTAGAGAAGACTAGATTCGAAACCATAACCCCATCTCGTTTCATCACCTTCACTTTCCCCAACCCCTCCAACTCAACGACCCTCCTCCGCGTCGCCGTCCTCGACACACCTTTTCAACTCACCGGCTCACCCCGAGTCGCCGCCATGCTCGTCCCCAAACAACGGGAGTCCGACTGGATCTTCTCCACCGAGTCCGGTCACCTCCAGCTCCTGCTCAGCTCTCCCGGGATCGCCCGCCTAATCCTCACCGGCAACCAGCCCATCAACAGTCACCATTCACCGGCAATCTACCACCGTCCAGCTAGAAACGACTCGTCGTGTGATGGCGAACTCGGGGTGAGTTTGAAACCTCTTTTCCTTGCTTTATCTCCTAAGTCTTGCTTCAAACATGGCATTCCTGAGATACCCATTTTGAGTTATGAGGATAATGTGATTTGTGGTGTGGTTTTGGAGAGGTGTGTTGGGTCTTTGGTTGGTGAAATGGTGGTGGAAGATGTGGAGATTGAGAGTGGTGGTGAGGCTTCAAAGAGGGAGTTCAGGAGGCGTTTGAGGTTTAAAAGAATGCCCAATTTGGTTCAAACGGAGGTACGTATTGTTCCCAACATGGGTTTTGGTTTGGATTATGTGGAAATCGGAGAAGTAGAGTTTAGGCTGGATAATAGTATTTTAGTGCACCCTTATTTGGTTCCTATGGTGGCAAGTCTTCAGTTGATTGCTTCTTATATTGAGGGTCGGATTCGAAGTGGGTTTAGGCCGAAAGCTTTGTGTTTAGGAGTTGGGGGTGGAGCTTTGCTTGGATTTTTAAAAGCCGAACTGGGTTTTCAGGTTGTGGGTGTGGAGGCGGACAAGGAAGTTTTAAGAGTTGCTAGGAAGTATTTTGGACTGGAAGATGGTGGCGGTGAGCATATCAATGTTTGCGTTGGAGATGCAATAAAAGTTATTGAGAAACTTGCGGGTCGAGGTAATGGACAAAGTTCGGGTTCTTTTGGGGCTCATGAGATAGTGGATGATTGTGCCGTGCTCGATAGCAATGACGTTGATTCTAAATTTGATGTAGTGCTAGTTGATTTAGATTCAAGTGATGCTGGAGATGGTATAATTGCTCCGCCATTTGAGTTTGTTAGGAACGATGTTCTTTTGGCTGCCAGATCAGTTCTTTGTGATAATGGGATCCTTGCTATAAATGTTATTCCTCCAAATAGATCATTTTACACAACATTGATACAGGAGTTCAGAGAAGTTTTCCACGAGTTATATGAAATCGATGTTGGAAATGGGGAAAATTTTATTCTTATTGCTCTTGTGTCCCCTGTTACATCTTCTACCAGTGATTGCGAGGATTGCTTCCTTAAAAAACTAAGAATGGTTATATCAGGAGCATACATGAATTCTATAAAGAAGATCTGAGATGGGGTGCAAAGAGAAGGTGGGATGATCAACCCCTTGGGACCCAACATATTTTTATCACTCTGCTTCTGGATGGATTGGGGGAGGGAATACGAACGTAAGATAGCATTGTCTTTTCAATTTTATACCAATTTGTTTTATCACAAACCAATTATAATTATGGAAAGAATAATAAAATAACTTTTCTATGATAGCTTGCGTCTGAACTTTCCACTGTACCAAACAACTCAAGTGATGAAGAATCCCCACCATACCTGCGTGCTTTTCATCCTTCCACTTTCCATTCCCCTTACCTAGCATAGTGTAAAGGTCTATGGGTCGGGGAAGTTTAATTGTGGGCCCTCGTATTCAAATCGGAAACATGCCCCAGCATTGTTCTTGGGAACTCCTTAAGTGCTCCCTGGAGGAGAATTCCCGAATTTAGGTAAGCTTTAAAGGTAGTTTGGAAATTATGGTCCTCTTATGGGCACTAGACTGAAAGGTGAATAAAAAAATCTAATTACATGATTCAAGTAATACTTGTAATTTCAGTCAACTTTATTCTTTAAAAGAAAGATTGGCTTCTGAATCTGTAGATTTAAATTAACTTATCTAGTTAATGTAGAAGCATCTTCTGCTTGCTGTTGCTTTAAGAGGAATTATGATGATAACTATGTACCGTAAGAGTGATTCGGGTATTGGCAGAAATCTTATCTTTCAATCTTTTTAAGGTAAGAGGTTGATTGGGATAGCATGCTGGAGAGGCGTTTTTCGGAAATGGCAAAGCATGTGGTGGTGGCATCGAATGCGGATGTGGTCCTGGCAAAGAGTTGGATTAAGGAAAACAACGTCAACGGGATTTGTTTTCTCCTTGTCTAGTGATTACAAGGTAACTGAAGTTAACTGTTTCTCTATTTTATCTTTGTTATATTTTACTCCTGTGGCACCTAGTATCGTACTTTTTCATGAGTCATTAGTTTGTGTGTGCATGACTTGTGAAAAAAGCTAAATTTGATAGTGTGTGTATGTCACCTGTTTGTTGGGTCAATTCAAAACCATTTTGTAAAACGAATAAAATATGTAAAGTTGGTGATGAATTCCATGGTGATCTGATGTCATCTGACTTTGCAAGGCCATCAACTCCTTTCGTACAAATAATTGTGGTTGATGTGTTCGACGAACTTTATTTGTGAGTATATCTTTTGGGCAAAATTTATACGTATATTTTTTCTGAGTCACGAGTTCAAGTTTATATTTATTTTGGACCTGCGAACCACCATTTCTTTTACAAATTAGGATTATTTTACTGAGCTTGAAGGATAATGGACAAGGATGTTATTGTATATGTGATTAAATTGGAAACTTACATGACCCAAGAATATTTTCGAGAAAGCAGCAGTTGGCTGGGTAATAATGTAGCAACAACAAGAATATTTTGTTGAGTGAATTAAAACCTTGTCAACCATCAACGTGAAGGAAATGCACTGTAATATTTTGTTGAGTACATCTAAACTGATGGTGTGATAAATTGAAAATAACTGAAGGCTGTGTGCAACAGTCATAAAATAGTTTGGGTATTGTGTCTTAGGAGTTCTTGATACTTAAAGGTTTATTGGTGATTTCAAAGATTTCCACACATAACCAAAAGTTTCAATGTATGTACATTGAATTTGTGCTCTTTTTATTTTATTTTATTTCTTTTAAAAGGGAATTCTGGAAGTCTGGTACTCTGCATTGATAAGTGACTTCATCAATGTCATTACAATGTAGAAAATAAGGCCAAATAAATTTTAAAAGTTTGAATAACTTTAATTGATATCTCGTGGCTATTTAAGTTCGGAAATTTTGGTGGTCAGTCAACTCAGTTTTCCAATATTTGATGTAAGATTTTTTTGTTAATAGCATATCCAAAGTTAGTAAAATTCCAACTTACATTGCTTATGCACTATATTTATAACAGTCTTAGAGATGGTTTAGTTCAGCTAATGTTGGTAGCCAATTAGACGAAGAAAGAATGGAAACTTAGGAGATACTTGGGTTTGTGTTTTGGCTACACGACCGTATTAGAATAAAGTGGTTTGGACATTTTCTCTATAATTTTTTATTTGTTACTACAGTTAAATAAAGACCTCCTTTTGTTAACTGTGACATTTCAGTTCCTTGATGTTGTACTTTCTCTGAGTTTTTCCCATGTGCAACACAAGGTCTGTGCCTCGATGTATACTCACCTTAATCCTTAAATAATAATTGTATATCACCAAATTAATCTTTCCTTACCTTTTCTTTCAGTGTTTTCTTCGAATCAGTAATTTTTAGTCTTGCTTTCTCCAGTCTCCCAGTGTGGAAGGGTAACCAGGGAAACCCTCTGTCATTCAATGAGAAAACTTGGATCGATAGTGATGGTACCACTTTGCAGGTTCGCTAGTTGAACCCAGTTGGAGATCATAATTTGGTCAGAATCCCTTGAACCATTGAACTTACATATTGAAGCAAAGGATGAGAGGCACACCTTCATGCAAGGTAGAGAACTGTGATATTAAGACTTGGAAGAAAATTCACTGGTTGCCTTTCTAGTTGGTTATGTATTTGCTCATATCAATTAGTGTAACCCGCATCTTAAAACCGATTTCTTGCTTTTTAGAAAGTTTTTGATGTTTCATCCTTCCAACCCCACTACCTCCCGACATTATTTCTCTCAACATGTAACAACTAACAACTAAATATCAAATACTGTAAGAAAAAGTTCACAAAACTGGTCTTATTTAAATGGGAAGCTCGGAACCTTGAAACTTTCAAGGATCATGATCATGATGAAGAAAACTTATATACCTCGATTAGGCAGTATGTAAGTTTAATTCATGTCGTGGCTCAGTTCATTCTCTGTCATGATTTTAGGACAACTATTCCTTCTTTATTTGATCCGCTGCAATATTCAATGAGAGTATATGCTGGAGGCATATGGGATGCCGAGTATTGGGCTAGTGCCTGAGCACATGCTTCAGTCAGAAACACACTGAGCACTATGTACATGCTTATGGCCATAATAGCATCCCTATCACTAAGGTTATGTTAGGCTCATAGGAGCACTCATTGTAGTGCTAGGGTTATAGGAACACCTCATTCACAAAACTGTCCTCGAACATGAAGACAATCAAATAGCACCACATGCCTTATTGTGATTGTTGTTTGTTTTTCGTTTCTAATTATCCCAAGACATTGCAGGCACTTGTTGTTGAGGAAGAATTGTTACACTTTGAGTAGAAAATAGAACCAATAGAATTATAAATTTTACATACATAAGTACATAGACATATATAAGTAAGCATGTTACTCCAACTCAGGAATCGCTTCTAACTGAATGTTAAGATTTCTTGCAGGCCTACTTGCATTTGTTTGTGCGCCACCTGTAGAGGCAAAAGGATTGGGAGGTGTGTTTAAGTTTTCTCCTCCTTCCAGCATCTAAACCACAGCTTGCATTGAAGGACGATTGACTGGATACCATTGGATGCACTAGAGTCCTACAATTGCAAGTTTGTTTGGAATTTTACCATCTCCTTCTTCACCCATATGGATTTGTAGTGTTAAATAACTTGCCTTCTAGATCTTGTTCTTTGATGTAACCGACGGCAATAGATTAAACTAGCAAATATTAAAACACTTAGAAACACACAAGAATTATACTGGTTCGGCGGAACTTTTGCCTACGTCCAGTTGTGATTTCTCTAGGTAGAGAAATCACCGCTCCTTTGATTAATAATAGAGATTACAGAACTTTTGCAACCCTAGAACTAATCTCAAAACTCTTGGTTGTCTCTGGCTGTTTTTCCTCTCTTTAAAATAAGCCTTGCCACACCCTATTTATAGATATAGAGTTGGCTTACATGTCCCAAGGCTGATTGGATTCCTATTCCTAAGTAGATTAGGAAATTACACTTATCCAAATCCTAATAGACTTCTAGAAATCCAAACCTGAATTGAATAAGGAAAACTGAAATTCTTTCCTAATCCCTCTAGGACAAGAATTGGTATACCTCTAATTTTCCTAAAACAATCCTAAACCAACTAGGACATATTTGACGAGCCAAAATCCTAACAATCTCCACCTTGGTGAGTCAAACCAAGTCTTGATCGTTGCACCCCAGAGTATCTTTGAACCTCCTTGAAGCAGCTCTGGAAATCTTCAAGAGTCTTCACCTTGGCAATCTTCTTCTTGCCTCATTGCACCTCAAGTGAGGAGGTGCTCCACTTTAATCAATCAACGAGATTGATCAAGTTCAAGCAATGCTTGAACTTCTTGGCCGGCACTATCTTTGTAAGGAAATCTGCGGCATTGTCATCCGTATGAATCTTTTCAATCCAAATCTCCTTAGACTCCACCCAATTTCTGATTCTGTGATATCTTGCTTCAATGTGCTTTGATCTTCCAGAAAAAACTTGATTCTTTGCCAAGTGAATGGCACTTTGACTATCACACTTCAGCTTCACAAAATCTTGGGTGATTCCCATTTGACTTACCAAGCCATTAAGCCAAATTGCTTCCTTTCCAGCTTCGGCCAATGCAATATACTCTGCCTCTGTGGTCGACAAAGCTGTAATTGGTTGCAGTAGTGCCCTCCAACTGATCGGTCCTCCTGCGCATGTAAACACATAACCAGAAGTTGACCTTCTCTTGTCCAAGTCCCCTGCATAATCAGCATCCACATATCCCAACACCCTTGCATTTTCTTTTTGCTTCTCAAACATAATCCTTTGTCGCCAAGAACCCTTCAAATAACGCAAAATCCACTTGACTGCATCCCAATGTTGCTTTCCTGGATTTCCCATGTATCTGGAAACGACACTGATTGCTTGAGCTATGTCTGGACGTGTGCATACCATTGCATACATAAGGCAGCCCACGACATTAGCATAAGGAACCTTCTCCATTACTTGCTGCTCTTCCTCGGACTTAGGACACTGTTGCCCACTTAACTTGAAGTGAGCTGCCAAAGGAGTCGAAACTGCCTTTGCTTCTTGCATGTTGAACTTCTCAAGAACCTTCTGAATATACTTGGCTTGTGATATCCAGATCCTTCCAGCGGTCCTATCTCTCTGAATCTCCATGCCAAGGATTTTCTGTGCTGCACCTAGATCCTTCATGTCGAACTCCTCGCTCAACATCTTCTTCAAGTCTTGAATTCTAGACTTATCTTGACAAGCGATTAGCATGTCATCCACATATAACAACAGCAATATGACCATCCCATCTTGGAAAACATGATAGTACACACAACAGTCATATAAACATCTTCTAAAATTGATTTTCAGCATGAAGTAATCGAACCTCTTGTACCACTGTCTTGGAGACTGTTTCAGGCCATACAGGGACTTCTTTAGCTGACATACTAGGTTTTCTTTCCCATATTCAACAAACCCTTCTGGTTGAGCCATGAAAATTGTCTCCTCTAGATCCCCATGAAGAAACGCTGTCTTCACATCCATCTGCTCAATCTCCATGTCATGCTGAGTTGCCATTGCTAAAAGCAATCTGATAGAAGTATGCTTAACTACGGGTGAAAAGATCTCATCATAATCCACTCCTTCCTTTTGTGAGTACCCTTTAGCCACGAGCCTTGCTTTGAATCTCACGGCATCTTGTTCATGTAGTCCTTCCTTTTTCCTAAATACCCACTTGCATCCAACTAGCTTTCTGTCTTTGGGCTTAGGAACCAACTCCCAAACAGAGTTCTTGTAAAGAGACTCCATTTCTTCTGTCATAGCACTTATCCAACTATCTCGCTCATCACTTGCTATAGCTTCTCGATAAGTAGTTGGATCTCCTTGACTAATGTTGAGAGCATAATTAACTTCGTCTTGGTCAAACCCAAACCTGTCAGGTTTCTTCTTATTCCGATTAGGTTTGTCCAGTGCTATGCATCTCTGGAATGCAGGTGGATTGTTGGTTGGAGTTCTAACCCTTTGGGATGTCTGGCGGATTAGAGTGCCTTCAATCTGCCCTATTTCTTGCTCCACCTGATTCCTAACTGGTGAACGACGCTGATGCTCATCTTCTTCCTCAAAACCATCAGATTCGGCATCTTGCTCAATTTGCTCCACCTGAGCTTCTTCGTCTGAACTGATTAACGGAATCTTTGTTGCTTCAATTTCAGCATCGTCTTTCTTCTCCCTACTGCTCTCGACTTTATTCAGAGGCATGGTTGTCTCATTAAAGACAACATCTCGGCTGACAACCTTTTTCCTGTTGTTGATATCCCAAAGCTTGAAACCCTTCACTCCTTTCTCAAAACCTAAGAATATGCAATGTGTAGACTTTGGTTTGAGCTTGGACCTTTCATCGCTTGGAATATGTGCATAAGCACTACAGCCGAATACCCTGAGCTTGGAATAGTCCACTGGCTTCTCAGACCATACCTCTTCTGCACTCTTAAAACCAAGAACTGTAGATGGTGATCTGTTAATCAAATAACTTGCATGATTAACAGCTTCTGCCCAAAAACTATCAGGCAATCCTGCATGAAATCGCATGCTCCTCTCTCTCTCCATGAGAGTTCGGTTCATCCTCTCAGCAGCTCCATTTTGTTGGGGATTCTTCTTTACTGTGAAGTGCCTTGTGATGCCTTCTTCCTTGCAGTAATCAGTAAACTCATTACTTGTATATTCACCTCCATTGTCACTTCTCAGGTACTTGATCTTTCTTCCAGTTTGATTCTCGGTTTCTGTTTTCCATTCCTTGAACTTTGCAAAAACCTCGGATTTCTGCTTCATGAAATAAACCCAAACCTTCCTAGAAAAATCATCCATGAAAGTAACAAAATACCTGGCTCCACCATTTGATTTGGTTGGTGCAGGGCCCCAAACATCTGAGTGAATATAGCTGAGTTGCTCCTTGCTTCGGTTATCTGCACTGCTACTCGTGAATGATACCTTCCTTTGCTTTCCAAGAACACAATATTCACAAAAGTCCAGTTTGCAAGATGACACGCCTTCCAATAAGCCTTGCTTGTGTAATTCTTGCAACCCTTTCTGGCTTATGTGCCCGAGCCTATGATGCCAGAGTTCAGTCTTGTCTTTTATACCTTGATTTACAGAAACAGCTGCTCCCCCAACTATAATGGTCCCAATTAACTTATACAGCTTATTGGGTTGTAGGTCACCCCGCATTACCACCAGTGATCCTTTGGCTACCCTGAGTCTTCCCTTTTTAGACTCGTACTCATAGCCGGCCTCATCTAAAGTACCCAAGGAAATCAAATTCTTTCTTAGTCTAGGGACATATCTAACGTTCCCCAAAACTCGTATCATCCCATCAAACATTCTGATTTGAACAGTGCCGATTCCTTTTACAGGACATGAAGAATCGTCCCCCATTAAAACTTCCCCGCTGCTGACTTCTTTGTAAGTATCGAACCATTCTCTTACTGCACACATATGAAAAGTGCATCCGGTATCCAAAATCCAATTTGTGAAAGCCTTGGAGCCTGATGTTACTGAAAGAAGCTCCCCGTCACTCTCATGCTCGGTGACTGCACTAGCTGAACCCGAGCTTCCTTCCCTCTTGGCTTTCTTCTCTTTCCAAATCTTGCAGTTCCTCTTCCAATGATCGGCTGAACCACATTCGAAGCAACCTTCCTTCTTTTCCTTTTTCTTCTTGGATTTTGACCTACCTCTGTTGCCTGTTTTCTCTTCCTTTGTCTTTTCCCGCCCCCTCTCCTTGCCTTTGGCATAAAGGCCTTGAGAGCTTTCAGTTATATCATCTAGTTTAGCATATGACTGAAGAGCTTGAATCACGTCTTCAAGCTTCAGGGACTCTTTTCCAAACATTAGAGTTGTTCGAAAGTGCTTGAAAGACGAAGGTAGAGACCTTAGCAAGATGATAGCCATATCATCATCTTTGTAAGTTTCTTCGACCTTCTGAAGATTAGTTATGCAATTTGAAACCTGCATACGTGATCTTCAATATCACCTCCTTCTTCCAGTCGAAGTCCGAATAGTTCATCCTTTAGAAAAAGTTTATTGGACACGGTTTTGCCCATATAAACATTCTCCAACTTTTCCCATGCTTCTTGGGCAGTCATCTTTTCTGTGATGTGTGACCGAACTGATCTTGTGAGATGGATCTCGATGGAACTCTTGGCTTTCTTAAGAACCTTAGTCCATGCTGTGTCTGTCATGCCTGTTGGCTTCTCACCGCTGAGTGCATCATCCAAATCTTGCTGTATCAGTACGTTCTTCATCATCCTTTGCCAATCCGTGAAGTCATCCTTGCCGTCAAAGGGCTTTAACGCAGGTCCTAGATCCGCATTCATCTTCCCTTTAGACATCGTAGAACCCCTTAACCTGGCTCTGATACCACTTGTTAAATAACTTGCCTTCTAGATCTTGTTCTTTGATGTAACCGACGGCAATAGACTAAACTAGCAAATATTAAAACACTTAGAAACACACAAGAATTATACTGGTTCGGCAGAACTTTTGCCTACGTCCAGTTGTGATTTCTCTAGGTAGAGAAATCACCGCTCCTTTGATTAATAATAGAGATTACAGAACTTTTGCAACCCTAGAACTAATCTCAAAACTCTTGGTTGTCTCTGGCTGTTTTTCCTCTCTTTAAAATAAGCCTTGCCACACCCTATTTATAGATATAAAGTTGGCTTACATGTCCCAAGGCTGATTGGATTCCTATTCCTAAGTAGATTAGGAAATTACACTTATCCAAATCTTAATAGACTTCTAGAAATCCAAACCTGAATTGAATAAGGAAAACTGAAATTCTTTCCTAATCCCTCTAGGACAAGAATTGGTATACCTCTAATTTTCCTAAAACAATCCTAAACCAACTAGGACATATTTGACGAGCCAAAATCCTAACATGTAGGTCATCTTCCTCTTCTAGAAGATTATAAATCCATTCAGGGTACTAAATTTCATTTGTGTTCTTTGTGGGTGAATGGACATTCATCCTTCCTCCCACCATCTCAAGCAGTAGCATTCCAAAACTATACACATCTAACTTATAGGACACATTTCCAAAGTTCCTGGAGAGCATTTTAGGTGCAATGTAGCCCATGGTCTACCTAGCTGTAGTCATTGACACTGTGCTTGTATCCTTGGAACATAACTTCGCCAAACCAAAGTTCGAAATCTTTGGAGTGAAGTGGTGGTCTAGCAAAACATTATGAGGTTTGATATCAAAATGAGGATTTGCCGATCACATCCTCGGTGAAGATATTGAATGCCTCTGGCTATGCCTATGGCAATATCTTGCAACTTATCCCAACTAGAGAACCCATTCTTTTTGCCTGCTGATGAAATGTAATCTTGCAAGCATTGGAGAACTCATAAACAAGAGCTCTTCTAAATCCATCAGCACAGAAGCCAACCAAGTGAACAACGTTGACATGGTGGATATGACCCATTGTTCCCACTTCATTTATGAACTCTTCCCCGTTTCCGTTAGAGCTATTAGGACCTTCACAGCAACAAAGATTTCAGAAGAAAGCTTTCCTTTATAAACAGTTTCGTAGGCTCCTTCGCCTAACTTGTCCGTGAATTGATTTGTAATCCTCTTGTTGGAGCAAGATTTCTTTCATGAAGAAATACCTTCATAGGTACTTGACAGTCTGAGCACTTCCTTGGTTGAAAAGAACTCTGGATCGCGTTTTCGAGAATTAACGAGGAAATGGGGTGAGTATCTGTAAAAGCCACTCCGACGCTCAAGTCGGTGTTTGTGTAGCGAATTCTTAGTGCTCAATTGAATTTCTCGTACCTCTGCTGGAGGTATGGTTAGGATTTTATATTGCTCCGAGCCTTTTGGGTTTAACTCCACTTCCCTACTAGCTTTGCGCATACCATCCTCCACTCCCCGATCGTGGGATGATTGGGCTATGTCTTCCACGCTTTGCACTTCTTTGGTGGGAGAGAAGCTCGACCGCTCCACGTCTTTTAATCATGGCGTACGGGTTAGGTCATGCTACGTGGGATTTGGTCCCCACAGGGCTAGGTCATGTTACGTGGGTTTTGGTTCCCGCAGTGCCTTCCTTTTTTCCTCTCTACATACTTCACTGGTGGAGTGAAAAATAATTGATTTTGATTTGAATTCTTTCGGATTGAACTTATGATGTCGTGAGGGGTTCATGGCTGAATCCAAACGAACAATTAGTCTTCCTCTCTTGGACTAGCTAAGTCCGAATAAACGATTGTATTATTGCCAAACCCACTCAAATATCACTTGTTGAGCCTAATTCTTACCTTAGGTTTAACGTTGGGCCTAATACCCATGTTGAGCCCAAATGCACAAGAGATGGTTGAAATTCAATATTACGTGGGAACCCAATGCATGAGAGTCGAACCCAACAGTGGGGCCTACGTGCTACAGAGTGCAAACCCACCGACTCCGTGGACCCTAGTGCCAAACCCAAGTAAATAATGCCTCTCATCTATGCACGTTGCTTTTTCATGCACCGTTGTTCGTGCCTTGTCTTCACATACAACGCTTTATATCATGCACTTCGGCTTATACCATGCAATCCAATGGCTTATACCATGCAATCCGATGGGCCCATTTGGCCCATGTTGGGGTCATTGAAACGCCCCTATTTCTAAATTCTATGTAATGCTGGACCATGAGGCATGTGCTGGTCAAGTACAAACACCAAGAACTATATGATCATAATTGATTGCATACATTAGTGTGTTTACATGTAATGATGTAATTATAACTACACGTGTTACTCCAACTCAGGAATTGCTTCTAACTGAATGTTTAGATTTCTTGCAGCCGTACTTGCATTGGTTCCTGCAGCACCTGTAGAGGCAAAGGGATTGGGAGGCACGGTTAAGCTTTCTCCTCCTTCCAACATCTGAACCACGGCTTTCATTGAAGGGCGATCCACTGGATGCCATTGGATGCACCAGAGCCCTACAATTGCGAGTTTCTTTGGAATTTTACCTTCTCCTTCTTCACCGATATGGATGCGTAGATCATCTCCTCCTTCTAGAAGATTATAAATCCATTGGGGATAGTAGATTTCATTTGTGTTCTCCGTGGCTGAATCGACATTCTTCCTTCCTCCTACCATCTCAAGCAGTAGCATTCCGAAACTATACACATCTGACTTATAGGACACATTTCCAAAGTTCCTGGAGAACACTTCAGGTGCAATGTAGCCATGGTGCCTCTAGCTGTAGTCATTGACACTATGCTTTGATCCTTGGAACATAACTTGGCTAAACCAAAATCAGAAATCTTTGGAGTGAAGTTGTGGTCTAGCAAAACATTATGAGGTTTGATGTCAAAATGGAGGATTCGCTGATCGCATCCTTGGTGAAGATATTCAATTCCTTTGGCTATGGCTAGAGCAATATCTTGCATCTTATCCCAACCAAGGAAACTGTTCTTATTGTCTGGTGATGAAATGAAATCCTGCAGTGAACCATTTGGTGAGAACTCATAAACAAGAGCTCGTCTAAATCCATCAGCGCAAAAGCCAACCAATCGAACGACATTGACATGGTGGATATGACCCATTGTTCCCACTTCATTGATGAACTCTTCCCCATCTCCCTTAGAACTATTGAGGACTTTCACAGCAACGAAGAGTTCAGAAGAAAGCATTCCTTTAGAGCGGTTCCACCGCTGCAGCCCAGCCCAAGGCTAGGGGGAAAAAAAAAAAAAGGCTTTCCAGCGGAGCAGCCCAGGCCCGGGGGGGGGGTGTGGGACCCACCTCCTCGGGCTGGCCCGAAGGCAAGTCTTACCCGAGGTCCAAAACGAGGGGGGTTACTGTAGCGCTACAGTATCTGCTACAGTAACGCTACAGTACTGCTACAGTACCCCCGCTACAGTATCGCTACAGTACTTTGCTGATTTGATTTTTTTTCTTGTTGCCACGTGGCGTCGTCTGGGCTCTCCGATCTGATTTTTTCCTTCAATCCAACGGCAGCCAATTTTTTTGCAATAAAATACTGGAAAAAATTCGGAAAATTTTTTAAAAAATACCCAAAAATTAATGAATTTTTTTCTATAAATACCAGCCTTTTTTTTTATAATTTATCTGAAATTTGAAATTGAAAATTTTATCCGATTATGAGATATGAATAGTATTGACACGTAGGAACCCGAAAATCTTATCCGAAAATATTATCCAAATTAATTATTGAGGTAAAAAAATTGTGAATAAAACAAAAAAAATGAATAGTAACTGCCCTTAGCAAGGGCAACGGGTGGAAACACAAAATTTGGATTTTGCAAGGGCAACCACTATTCACGTGAATAGTGGCTGCCCTAGCTCCCCCCCTTGCCATGGCTAAGGGCAAATGGGTGGAGTTGCTCTTATAAACAGTTCCGTAGGCTCCTTCCCCTAACTTGTACTTGAAGTCATTTGTAATCCTCTTAATATCTGCATATGAATATCTGCTAGGTTTGAGAGCTCTGTAATCGTCTAAAAATCTTTCAATCTTTAATTGATGCTCTTTTTCTTTTCTATCAGAACTGTAGACACGATAGGCTGCAATGACCAGGAGTAAGACAACAAGTGGACCCAGGGATGCACCTGCAAGTTAATCCTTTGTAAATATCACCACGATCTCATATATACAGATGAAACAAACTGCAACTCCAATTAAACAACTCACCTGTTGCCACCCATTTCCTTATTGTACCTGAAAACAAAAAATACACTGTCAACTTAAGAATGAGCTATTGCTTGGAAAATATCCTTTAAATAAACAGCGCTGCTACTTTGCTCTAAACTTCCAAATAAGTAAGCAAAAAGTGGATTGCAAATGATAATATCTCATTTCATGAATGCATTGTATTATTTGCATCTGCAGAATATTAAGAATCTGTAACAATTCAAATATATAAGAACCCATTAAATAAATGTTAGCCAAGTTAACCTGGACGTTTGCGATAAAAAACCAATAAATAATGCTGCTGCTCTGCTCTCAACTTCGAAGTAAGCAAAAAGTGACCAGTATAGCAGAATATTAAGAATCTATAATAAGTTAAATATATGTGAATCAAACTAAAATATATGTTAGCCATACCTGCTTTACTGAAGTCCACACATTCAATTTCACTTCTGGTGCCATTGTTCTTCAATCTACACATCTTGCCCCTTGCCTCACACTGTCCACAATTTGGTTCAGACCACTCCAAATAAAGATTGGCAGGCTCGTATGAAAAATATGGAACTGATGACAAATTATACATCTTTGTACAAGACAGTAGGGGCAAGTCCCCAATTATTTTGGAAGAAACAACAGAATAAACTTGGTAGCCAGGGCCACTGAAGCAGGGGACTGGTTCATCTAATTGCCTCTCAGCTAAGGAACAATGAATAAGGTAAGATTAGTCATGTAATCTTTTGAGAAGTGGAAGGGAGAGATTGACTTGTTGAAGACTTTCAAAAGCTTCACCAGAAGACAGCCTTCTGGATCATATAATTGGACTGCCTGAGCCTTATAATCTATGCTTTTGACTGGGAATTTGAATGGAATTGGAAGCTCAAGAATTGTTTCATGCTTCTCATTGCATGACAGGACAAACCCAGGAAAGACACAGTGATCTGGGTGCCTGCCTTTGAGGCTGAAAGGGAAATGGACAGCTGGGCCTTTATCGCCACACTTCAATTTTTTGCAGGTATCTTGGGGTTCTCCATGCACCGTGGAGAAAGCCAGAAAGATTAAGCACAAGGAAGAGGTGATAATTTTTACCATATCTAACTAAATCTTTCTGTGCTGCAGAAAAAGAAAATGGTGTCTAAATCTTTCTGTGACTCATATATGTCCAATAAGATGTCCTCTCATTATTTAATTAACCCAATCGTATTTGGGATCTTACCAGGAAAAGAAGAACAAAAAAATACGTTGTTTGCGATGAAAAGACTATAAAAGTCAACAGTTGACTTAGAGGTCCCACGACATGTGACATTCTTGATTGAATCAAATGTTGCATTTCTTTAAAAAGAATGTTAGTAACCTTCTCTCTAATTTTCTCCATCTTTTCATGACAAGTGTTATTTTCTTTACACTTAAAACAACGTCATTAATACATTACACAAACTAGTTTTTGTTTTCCAAATTTACCCTTATTGAATGTATTAACTCTTTTTAATAACAAGCGAATTTTTTTACAACTTTCTTACCACCTTATTTAAAAAATTAAATAAGAAAATAAATACTGAAGTTTTTATTTTGTATTTTTTTCAAAGAGGACGTATGTTTTGTTAAACACAAAATAATGATAATATCACTTTCATAATAACAATGTCATGAAACAAACTTTTTTTCTTTTTCTTTTTTCTTATTTAATTTTTAACAATATGCTAAGGAAATTGTAACAAAACTTGGACAAGTTGAAGGAAATATAAAAGCTAATACATTTAATAAGGATAAACTTAAAAACAAAAACTATCTTGTGTGATGCATTAATGATATTGTTTTAAATGTAAGGAAAGTGACACTTGTCATGAGAAGAGAGAAGGTCCAAAAGAAAAGGTTAGAGAGAAGGTTGCTAGCATTCCTCTTTCTTTAATCGTTTGTTACTTTGTCTACGTTGACCATTATTATAATTATTTTATCATGGAATGAAGAATGCAGCGAAACTTCCAAGGCTGCTGTTTGAAATGAGTCAGCAAGCACAAAACTAAAGATAACATAGTCATGACTCACAATATAATCTCGCTTCACCCTTTATTTTCACACGGCACCAACCTTACAAGGGGATGACCTGCATTATTCTATTGTGGTTGGCTGGTACTTGGAGGACAGGTGCAGAGTAGATTAGACGGCTATAAGAGCATCCACAATGATGCTCTCTATTTCTTAGCTAAAATTTAGCTAAAAATATAATAAAGCTATTTTAGGAGCTCTCTAAAAAATTTCAACTCTAACCATACTCTCTAATTTGAAGAGTCATAAATATTATAACTCTTTTTTGATTGGTCCATCTTTATTAAAAAATAAAAATAAAAATAATTAGCATTAAATAAGGGTTTGAAATACTCATTAAATAAAACAGCATTAAATTATAAGGAGCCATTAGGAGTTCTTTCTCTCCTCAGATTTAGGAGGTCCTAGAAGACTTCCTATTTTAGGAGGTGGATAGAGAGCATGGTTGGAGTTGCATTTTTACGATTCATTTCCAAAATTCGTCTAAGAATGTAGTTTAGGGAACTCATTATAGATGCTGTAACGACATTTTGGTGTGAATTTAATAGATGGGTCCAATAGAATTTAATAGATGGGTCCAATGGAATGGAGGATATTGAAAACTGTAAGACGCGGAATGAAAATAGCCAAACACCTGTCCGTTGACTGACTTTCTGACATCAATAATACCAATTTGAGCGGACGGTACAGACCTTGATAGATATCTCCAGAATATGCGTGTGGGCTTAGCATTACCTGCCCGTTGACTGACTTTCTGACCAAGGTTTACAATGGCATTACCTGCCGTGGACGGTAAAAAACTGATAGATATCTCCAGAACTTGTAAACCTCTCTCTCTCTCTCTCCTCTCTCTCTCTCTCTCTCTCTATGGGAAGTGGAACAAGGCCCTTTACCTTGTCTTCATGGGTCTTAGTTGCAGCCTTCTTAGGTATTAACTTATTATCCAGTGAAATTTGTAGCGCTAAAGATATCTACAGGTGTGCTCCTTCTTCCTGCGGCAACATCCACAACATAAGCTACCCTTTCCGACTAAACAGTGACCCAGAATACTGTGGGGACTCGAGGTATACGTTGCACTGCGACAACAACGTTACGGTATTGCATCTACATTCTGGAAAATACTTGGTGCTGGCCATCAACTACTATTACACATATATCTGAGTCGTAGATCCTGGCCTTGAAAAGAATAATTGCTCCTCCATTCCTCGTTATCCTTTAGCCTACTCTAACTTCAGTCTGGGGGGAACTGTATTATCCGTTAAGTCAGTCTGTAACTTTTTTCAAGTGTGCAAACCCAGTGAATTCATCTCTCAACGTAGTGATTGCTCAATGCACTAATAATCTGAGTAGGACAGGTTATGTCAACATTCACGATACAACGACGTCGGATCTGGAGGATGGGGTGCAGTATAGAGTGGACGACTATGGCGAGTGAATCCTTGGACGACCAAAATTACCAAAACGTTTCTCACAGATACATAAACATACACAACGCTTTGACGGATGGCTTTTTGCTTTATTATCGTAGCTCAGGTGTTGCCTTTGTTGAATGTGGCCCACACCAATGGATCCCACTTGGTTCCAAGTGTAAGCCAGGTACGTCTTTATTTTTAGTCATATATATATATATATATATATATGTATATACATATCGCAAGCTTCAATTAAGGGATTCTTAAAAAGGAATACCCTTACCCATAAATACATTTTATGGGCTCACACTCTGTATTGTATTTTAAAAATTGAAACGGTCTATCTTTGATATATGCTTTCAAAGATTTTCTCAGTAAAAAATCACTTGAATCTAAAACCATTAGACCACTCAATAATGATTGTCATTTTCTTAAAGCACTATGTTTGTTTATAAATGACAAACTAAATTTTATCATGGTACTAAATGTGTTTTTTCTAGTATTATATGTATATATTACGGTTGTTATGTGGCAAAGTTACAACTGTGCTAGTTTTGTTTTTCTTTGTTATTGTAGGTAGTTTTGTTTTGGATCTGTTGAAGCTGATTTACGGTAAATGATATTTCTTAAAGTGTTTTGTTTTTGTTTTTGTATTAAAAAAAGGGTGCAAAGTCTTTTGTTTTTGCCTTTGTTAACTTTATTGTATTTTGCAGATTATGAGGCGCAATTCTTTAGCTCAGGTAACAGCTTCTATTTCTTTAATTATTCAACACTGTATTTTATTTTATTTTTACTTTATTCTTTTTCCAAACATATAGTCAAAAGTCTTTGATTGATTTTGTCGACTTTTGTCTTATTGCTTGCAGGTGATCCATGGCGAGGAATTACGCTACTAATAACCATTATCTTCGGTAAGAGCGTGTTTTAGCAATTCAATTTCACTTTTTACACTCCTTTACCACTCACACATGAAGAGCCCATGAGGTAATTTACGAGTAATTATAGAATGCCAAATCATCATCCTAAATTGATTAGGAAAAATGAAGATGATGAATTGCACAATAATTTACATAGCTATTTGATAGAGATAAGAGCATTTCCAGCAGTTTGCTCCTTACCATGGCGAGAGAGAGCCCTAGGGAGCTACTATTCACGTGAATAGTGGCTGCCCTAGCCCCCCAGCAGAGTGTGTTTCTAGCAGTTGCCCTTGCCATGGCAAATACTATTCATTTTTTTGTTTTTTTCACAACTTTTTTTACTTAAACAATTAATTTGGATAATATTTTCGGATAAGATTTTGGGTTCCTACGTGTCAATACTATTCATATCGGATAATATTTTCGAATAGATTTTATTTTATTAGTTGTATTTTATTTTATTAGTTGTATGGTTGGTATTTATAGAAGAAAAAAAAAGTATGAGGATTTGATGTTAAAAGTGAAGAGTATTGGTTGGTATTTATAAACACTGGAGGACCTAGAATTTTTTTAGCAGAGGTGCAGTATTGACTAAGTATGAAAAATTGTTTTTTCGGAATAATCATTTTCTCAAGATAATTTTTGGCGGCTTTTATTCCTTACACATCAAATAAGAAAACTTGATTTTATGGGATTTTAATATGAAGCATATATTGACTTAATGAGCCATCATTTTTAGCCTAAATCGTATTTTGCACTAAAACTAATTTTTCATATTTTGATTTGGTGGGAATTTGATTTTCTAGTATTTTTATTTGAATCCAAATGGGGGGTACTTCCTTATTTACATTGTAAACTTAAGTAAATGTCTTTGTCCTTTTACTTTCATTTATTTTATATTACTCCCATTTACTTAAATGTTGAAAATGGAAATAAAGTATAGAGAAAAAAAAATCTGTAATTTTTTTGGTATTTTTTTAAATTTTTTTTCATTTATTTTATTGTACAAAAATTGGCTACCGTTGGATTGCTGGAAAAAATCTGATCGGAGAGCCCAACGCGTGCCATGTGGACGATTAAAAAAAATTTAGACGCAGGGCTGAAGTCGACGTGACGTCAGCCTTGCCCTCGGGCCAGCCCAGTTCGCTGGGTCCCACTCCTTGTCTGGTCCACTTTTGTTGCTGGAAACAGCATTTTGGCCTTCCCCCCCCCCCCCCCCCCCCCCCCCCCCCCCCCCCCAGTCCCCTCCCTCCCCCTGGTCCCCTTGCTGAAATGCTCTAAGGGGTGTGATAAAGTGTAAAAAGAATGCATCAGAAAGCTAGTCAGTTTCTGTAATTTCTCATCAATTTTTTTTTTTTTTTTTTTTTATGCTCTTGTGCAGTACTACATCTCATGGTAAATTTATACTGGCTCCATTTGTGATTGCGTTTTTGATCTATACATGGCGGAAAAAGACATTCGTCAATGTATAGCACGATCGAAAATTTTCTGCATGATGATAACAATTTTCCGCCGATAAGGTACTCTTACTTGGACATTAAAAAGATGTCTAACAAATTCAAGAATAAGTTAGGTGAAGGAGGCTTTGGCATGGTATTTAAAGGAAAATTACGCAGCGGCCATTTTGGAGCAATTAAGATGTTGAGCAAGTCCAAAGCTAATGGGGAAGATTTCATTAGTGAGGTAGCTACCATTGGAAGGATTCACCATGTTAATGTGGTGCAACTTGTTGGTTATTGTGTTGAGGGTTCAAAGCGCGCTTTAGTATATGAGTTCATGCAAAATGGATCTCTTAATAAATACATTTATTCCAAAGAAGGGAATAACTTGCTAAGTTACAAGAAAATGTATGATATTTCACTTGGAGTAGCTCGAGGGATTGAATATCTACATCAAGGTTGTGACATGCAAATTTTACATTTTGATATCAAGCCTCATAACATCCTTCTTGACGAAAATTTTGTTCCCAAAGATTTCTGACTTTGGGCTTGCGAAATTATATCCTACAGTTAACAGTATTGTCTGTTAACGGCAGCAAGGGGAACAATGGGTTACATGGCTCCTGAGTTGTTCTACAAAAATATTGGTGGCGTCTCACACAAAGCTGATGTCTACAGCTTTGGAATGCTGTTGATGGAAATGGGAAGCAAACGAAAGAATTTAAAATGCACGTGCAGAGCATTCAAGCCAAATTTACTTCCCGTCATGGGGTGTACGATCAGTATAAGGAGGGAAAGGAGCTGGAGATGGAGGATATAACAGAGGAAGAAAAGAAAATAGTAAAAAAGATGGTTATAACTGCCTTGTGGTGTATTCAAATGAAGCCAAGTGATCGTCCGGCAATGAACGAAGTTATAAAGATGCTCGAAGGAGATGTTGAAAGCCTACGAATGCCTCCTAAGCCTTTTCTGTGCCCTCAAGAGATGTCTGTAGATATTCATGATAATTTGAACCCATACAGTTCTAACATGGAGGTGACGTGTACTCTGTCACCTAGGTCATGATGAGGTAGCAACTCTTGTAATTTTATTCAAACACTCCAGTACTTGTGTAGCGTCTCTCTGCTTGTTTTCCGGGTTCTGATGTTGGCTTTTCATGTGGGTGTCTAAGAGTAGGGTTGGGCATGTTTCTGCATTTTAGTTTGGGTACTCTGTCTGGTTTCAGTTTCTGCATTTTAGCATGTTCTTACAGTTTCCATTTATGGATAAATAAAAAAACTCTTGCTGTGTTCATGTATCAATAAAAAAAACCTTTCAAATCCCAAAATTGCCCGAGTAATCTAACAGTTTTAACCCTATACTTACGAGAATCAGGAGTATTTGTCTCCAGGTTCGTGAGGTTTCCTGGAGGTGGATTCCCAGGAGGGTAACATTGTAGCTGATGGGTGGGCAGCTCGTGGAAAAAGGAGGATGTCTAAAGAGGTCTGGATTGATAGACCACCATCCTCCTTGGTTTTTGTCTTAAAAATGATGGCCTCCCATGTCTCTTCTTAATGAAAGCCCACTTTGATTATAAAAAAAAATTCTAACTGTATATGTTGTTTGACAATTACTGTAGAAAATTCTAATATACATATACATTTTACTACTACATTTTAGGCCTTCCGCGACGAAGGCAAGTTCGTCACGCAAAGTTAACTTTAGTCGCACATAATTCTACGTGACAGAAGTTTCGTTGCGCACATTCCGTCATGCAAAAATTGTGAAAAAAGACTTTGCGCGACCAATTTATTTCCTTCGTCGCGTGATGAGTTGAATTATATTATATATTTAACCCTATTCTTAGTATATTTTGATTAATATTTTGGAAGAATTTTGATACTTTGAATTATATTTCCAATATAGGACTTTCAACTTCCTCTGAAGCAAAACATAATCAAATGGACGAATTTTGGAGTAATTCCAATTGGAGGACGTACGTGAGTCACTTGGCTTGATCGTATCGAAATATCAGACTTTTCCACCAAGCGACGATTTCCTGGCGAAAAATGAAGGAGCGATGTGCAGTGCTAGAATAGTGACGTTTTGGGCTTTTATTGCGTTTTTGGAGCCCAAGATGACCTCAGATGGGTTCGTGGCCTTCTGGAGAAGTGTTCGAAATATTTTTATCTTTAAAAGAGCTATCTTGGGCCAGATTTGGAGGAGATTTGAGGCCAAAACGCGGCTGACCAGTTTGTTGGCAGATTTTCCTAATCCAATTTGGACTTTATTTCCTAGTCTTATTTTATTTCAACTTAGTTTCCTTGTGGGGATTGGGTAGCTAGGTTTTAGGAGGTATTTAAGCTCCTTTTCACAGCAATTTAGAGGGCTCCCTTTTGACTTCTTTTGGCTTTTGGAGCAATTGCTAGGGTTTTGGATTTTCGCGACTTTCAGGTTTTTCATCTTATTCTTCTTAATGATATTTTCTTGGATTTCAATTATGAGTATGCGTAACTAAATCTCTTTCGCTAGGGTGAAGCCTTGAGCCTTAGCATGAATATGTGATTTTTATTTAATTGCTTATGATTTAGTGCATGCATGCTTTGAATGTTAATCACTGTTTTAAACTATCTGATTGTCTTAATGCCTGATCACCATTAGGACCTTTAGAAAAGTAATTAGATGCAATTTTGGTCGGAAGGTCCCTGAAATTGATGCTAGCTTCTTGTGATTAATAATTGTAAGTTCACTTAAGGCTAACATCACGCTCTTAAGGGTTGCATGGTTTTTCAAAGGGTTTTCACAAAACTTAATGAGTCTTTCATGTTCAGATTTGATCCGAACGTCCAGACGGGTGCATGTTAGATATACGTTCTATGTTGAGGTTCCAAGTAGAATATAAATTAGGAAAACCTAACCTTCAAAATGGCATGTGCAAATCATAAGTAATTAGTAAAATTCATAGGATTGCTAGGTGATGATGGAACCCTAGTGCTTTTATAAATTGATATTCAAAACTTCTTCCTTCATTGTATTTGTTTTTGTTTAATATTTGTTTTTAGAATCAACCAACTTCATATTCATATTTCTCTACTTTTAATTTTAGGTAGTTAATTAGAAATTGTTTTCACATAAATTGCTAAATAGTCATTGTGGAAAACGATCTTGCATGAGCATCTATACTACAATTGCCTTGTATTCTTGCAAGTATTTTATGTGTGTTTAACCCTGTTTGCGCAGGTACTAAAATCCTATCATCTCTCAAAAAAAGTGCGACGTAGAACCTTCGTTACAAAAAACGTTTCGGGAAGACACAAATGTCTGACGCACAACCGTTTGCGCGAGGAAAGTGTTTTCAACACACCAACAATGGCGCGACGGACATTTTCGTCACTCGAGATTCGTGTCCCAGACATTAGCGCGACGGAAAGTCATTCGTCGCGCAATACTATTTGAGCGACGAATCGTCCTTCATTGTGCAATTACTATTTGCGTGACGAAAATTCCTTCGTCGCGCATACACATTTCGCGCGACGTTTCATCGCGCATGATTAAATGAAGTGTATTTAAAATTTTTTTTTAAAGTTTTTTTTTTTTTTTAAAAAATGATTGATTGCGCGATGAGATATGTTTCGTTGCGCGAAATAATATATATTATATAAATTAATATTTTTTTTAATTTTTTAAAGAAATTAATTAATTAATTTTTTATTAAAATGAAATTGCAATAAAAAGATTAATCGTAAAGAAAACATTTATTATATAAAAGAAATAAATGTATATAAGAGGAATATTTTAAAAATAATTATGAAAATAAAAAACTAATCAAATAATGTTCCAAAATCTACATGATCGTCTGCCACATGCGGCTCGGAGGTCTGGGCGTCTACAGGGGCCGTGGTGGTGGGGATGCTCGGGGTGGATGGGCTCGGAGGTCGGCGCACCAAAACTCGGGATTGGAATGCCGGACGCGCGAGGGACTGCAGAATCCCGACATCTGACCCTCAAGCTCGGCAACCCGCGATGTCAAAACAGTCACCTGACTGTTTGCCTGCGACGATGACCGCGGTCGAGGTTCCCTCTGTCGGGCATTCCCCATCCCCCTACAATACGTTCCGGCCTCCTCCCGAGAGTCTGATCCAACGTCTGCGTCAAAATCTGAAATCCAGCATCATGCGGAGGATCCACAGACTCGATCGGAGTCTCGGGAGGAAGTTGGGAGGCGGACTCTTGAAGAACCAACTGGCTCCTCTCCACCATCGTCGTCTGTTTAACATTACATAAAATATAAATTCAAAAATGCATATAAATTGAAAGTGTAACATAAGAATTAAAAATACATAATACTTACATGAAGGGACTCGGCCAACTCATTCCCAGGTCGAACATAAACGTCACCAAAGACGTCGATCTCTGGGAATTTCGACCCCCCCTTAATTGAACAAGAGAAGAAAATATTAGTATGAACAAAAGAAATTAATAATAATGACATATTAAAAATTAAATATAAATTATATTATTCTTACCCGACGCCGTGCATCCATCCTATATGAGAAGGGCCTGGAGCCGGAATGGTGGAGAAGAGTCTTCTTCTTCCTATTGCCCTTATTCACTTGGGCTTTATTCTGTTATACAAAAAATAAAACGTAATATTGAACTATAAATAAATTAAATAATAATGAGATATAAAAAATAAAATAAACATTAAACAAATATTATATAAAAAATTTAAAAAATACCACATAATCGGGCGCCTGAAAATGAGCGCAGAGCCACGCCCAACTATCCTCCCGCCCTCAAGCTCCTTCGGGCAACCCTCCTGAAGAGCGACTTGCGGATCATCAAACGCCTGAAAATGGTGGTGCAAGTCGCTCTTCCACTGCTTGTACCTCTCACCGAAGAGTCTGTTGACGTACGCCAAAGTCTCCTCGTTGAGGTCCTCTAAGTCGTAGTTCGTCTGCAATAAATTGATTACATACATTAAGTAATAGAAATATATAAAGTTTGAAAGAAAAATAATTAAAAGATAGGAAAACATACCGACAACTGGCCGCGAACTTGCATCTTGATCTCGTCAGGCATGACCTTCCAAGACTTCCATTGCATCGGGCAATGGGTCCGAACGACGTGGCCAATGTCGTGGGCCAAGGAGCTATGCAAGTCCGCCGTCGGTGCAGCCCGATGGCGCGCGTCATATCGATGCTGATACGACTGTTGGTCACCCGGGTGACCTTCGCGTCTTCAGCTGCCGACACGGCCCTCGGGTGTTCTCTCTTGGTTGCAAAGGGTATGACAATATTGTTAATATACAATCAAATGAACCAATAAAATTCCGGAAACATAAAAATTACAAAAAGAGAACTACAGGGCAAAGGGATATTAACCGGGGTGACACCGACGGCCCGTATGGATCGGGCCGACGCCCGGTGTGCGTGGTGCTTGGCGGGCGGTGCCGCCGCCTAGCGCTAAAGGGCACCACTGACTGAAGGATGGACGCAGGACGGCCTGGGATCCCCCCAGGGGACCCAACTGGGACGGGTGCCATCAGTGGCACGGGGAATAGGTTGGGCAGGGCAGGGAATGGGCGGTGTGGAAGCCGGGCGGCGGCTAAAAGTCGGGTGGGGCAGTCGGGACACTGGCCCTTTTCACGGGGGGGGGGACTTCTGAATCAAGTTCTGACATCTGCACAAATTTTTCATGCCCATTTAACCACATAAACCAATGGAATTTCTAATTTACGGGAATATACAATGTCATCACAAATATAAATTTGGAAAATAAAAAAAAAAAAATTACGATAATTGAATTAAAAAAAGCCAAAGAAAGTGAACTAGGGTTTGCGGATTTCGGAGTATCACTGGGGGACTCCGGAATTTCCCAAGGATCCGTCGAAATTTCTAACACTGGGAATGCCTTAGAAAAAAATTGGAACAAGTAGGAACCCTTCATTGGGAGGTTTGAGTTCAATCCAATGGTACCGACCAAAAACCATACCCAAAAACTTGGAAATCGCGGGGGGGGAAAAATTAGGGCAAAAAAAAAATTCCGTTCGGGGGGGGAAACCCAAAAAACGGTAACCCAAAATTTTACCGGCAAATACGAAAAAACACACCTACACGCCAATCATGGACCCCAATTTAGGGGAGTGGCCAGTGGGTGGGAACCAAATTGCATTTGGAACTTGGCTACAAAAAAACAAGCCCCCCCACGGCGCAACCCCCCCCCCCCCCACACACGGGCGGGGGGGGCCCGCGCATGGGTGGTGTTTTCCAAAGCGATAGCCAATGCGCGGAGCAAAACAATTCTACTTGAAGGCCCAACGGGTTCTACCTAGGTCCAAAACCAGGAAACTTGGGAGAGGGCCCAACTTTGTTCTTCGGACCTACCATGAAAAAAGGCGGAAACGCGTGGCACGGAACATCCTACCATGAAAAAATAAAAGGGAAGGGGCGAGAGAGAAGGGTGAGGGTGGCACAGGAAAATAAATAGGGTGTTTTTGGAATTCTAAAATACCCCAAACCTACAATCAAAAAATACCCCAAATACAATTACCAAAAATCCGACCTTAAGACTATCAGCTAGAGCACAAAAGGACGGTCCAGAAACACATCATCAGCTGTTCAAATTGGGGCCCGAGGAGAGAGAAAACATTGCCGGAAGAAGATTCTGCGAGGTGAGGGCGGGGGAAGCCGGCGGAGGGGTGGTGGCAAGGCGGGTCCAAATTGTACGGCGGGGACGGGTAGATGGCTGAGGTGACGGCGGAGGAGAGAGAAGATAGGTAGGGTTTTAGGGTTTTGGCCCAGAACAAAACTGAGAAAGGGACAAAGGGAGGTTGTCGTGACGTTTTTGAAATTTTAGTCGATCTTGCGCAACGAATAATATCTTCCGTCGCACAAAATTTTTTACATGCATCTTGCGCGACGAATAATAAAATCCGAATTTCGTCGCGCAATGTTCTAACTCCGCCAAAAATTGGAATTGGGGGATTAGGGTTTGGATTTTGCGCGACGAAAGGACACTTTGTTGCGTCGCGCAAGGCGTCCATCCGCCAAAATTTTGGGATTCAGGTTTTGAGCGGGGAGATAAATTAATTGAGGTTGCGCGACGAAGAGAAGAGTATTCGTCGCGCAAGCCTACACTTTGCACGACGAATACACTTGCACAAAAATTTTCCTAAGTGTTGGGTGGGGGATAAGTGAAAGGTCTGACTGAGATTGTGCGACGAAGAGAAGTTTATTCATCGCGCAAGCCTTTGTTCTGTACACTTTGCGCGATGACCATGACACTTTTTGGTCGCGCAATCCCATGATTTGCCCCAAAATTTTCCTAAGTGTTGGCGGCGGGGGATAAGTGAAAGGTCTGACTGTGATTGCGCGACGAAGAGAAGTGTATTCGTCGCGAGCCTTTGTTTTGTACATTTGCGTGACGACATGACACTTCCTTCGTCGCGCAATCCCAGATTTGCCAAAAAAATTTCCAAGTGTTGGGCTGGGGGGATTAAGTGAAAGGTTGATGAGATGTGTGCGACGAAGAGAATATATATCGTCGCGCAAGCCTTTGTTTGTACACTTTGGCGCGGGGGGGGGTGGAACGGGACCATTTGGGGGAACACTTTCCTCCATCGGCGCCCCCACAAATTTCCCATCGAATTTGCAAAAAAAAAAAATTTCCCTTTAAAAGGTGGGGGGCGGGGGGGATTAAGTGAAAAACTGCTTACTGAGATTGGCGCGGGAACGGGGGGGGAACAATGGTCCTTCATTTCACGCGCAAATTCCCCTATCCCCCGGGAAAACAAAAACCCTAAAAAAACCCTAAACCCTAAACTTGGGTTGTCACTGATCCCAACCGGGCCCAAACAAAAAACTTTGTTTGTTTTATTACTTCCAGGAAAACTGGAATACGGTCGAAAATCGGAAAAAAAAAACCCAAACACCTTGCAGTGAGGGATCTAAAGTAACGGGGGGGACAAAAACTGTGGCGATTGGTTAATTAAAAGAAAAAAAAAATCACGTTTAAAAAACGGTTTGTTTAAACTCCGATTTTGAAAGAATTTTTTTTTTGATAGCGGCAAATTTGTTTGGGGGAACCGGAATATGGAAGGACACACTGACTGAATGTTGATTCTTCACCATTCAAGGGATATTTCCCACTATTGGGAGACATCCAAAATACTTTATTGTTTTTTTAAGGGAAAGTAATAAACAAAACTTCTTGTCCTTTGGGTGGTGCCTATTGTAGTTTTTTTTTTTTTTTTTTTTTTTTTTTTTTTTTTTTTTTTTTTTTTTTTTTTTTTTTTTTTTTTTTTTTTTTTTTTTTTTTTTTTTTTTTTTTTTTTTTTTTTTTTTTTTTTTTTTTTTTTTTTTTTTTTTTTTTTTTTTTTTTTTTTTTTTTTTTTTTTTTTTTTTTTTTTTTTTTTTTTTTTTTTTTTTTTTTTTTTTTTTTTTTTTTTTTTTTTTTTTTTTTTTTTTTTTTTTTTTTTTTTTTTTTTTTTTTTTTTTTTTTTTTTTTTTTTTTTTTTTTTTTTTTTTTTTTTTTTTTTTTTTTTTTTTTTTTTTTTTTTTTTTTTTTTTTTTTTTTTTTTTTTTTTTTTTTTTTTTTTTTTTTTTTTTTTTTTTTTTTTTTTTTTTTTTTCTTAAAAGCAGAATGCCATTTTCTTTGGTGTTTGCTAAGAGTGCTTTTTTGAACAGCAAAAAGCCACCCAAATTTCAATGCACCCAGTTTCGCATGCAGGGTGGTAGACTGCTGCTGCTCAGCTCAATTGCACAAAAGGCGAGAGAGAGAGAGAGAGAGAGCCTTTTATTGGTGCAATTTGAGTGGAAAGCAGATAGATTTCAGCTTGGGGTCTTAATTTATAGGGAGTTGATTACTACTAATTCCAATCTTGGGTTAGCGGAGATGACCTACACTTTTTGGGGAATCCCAAGTTGGGAACCCAAAGAATCATAAGTTAGTTTGCTTGGACTGTCATGTCCTCCCCCATTTGCTTCTTCCATCTCTCTCTCTCTCTCTCTCTCTCTCTCTCTCTCTCTCCATCCCTCTGTATTGTGTCCTGTTTTTAGAGAAATTTTTATATGTTCAGGATACACCAATGTGGTGTACCATCTCATAGACGAAAGATATATGGAATATTTGTATTGCAGCCCGCTATATGTTAATAAAAAATACAGTAAGTTAGATAATAATTTCATATGTCCTATATTTATTAGATGGTACATCAATCACATGGTGTATCCGGAAAATAAAAAATTTATCCAACAGACACATATATACAGAGGGATGGAGAGAGAGAGATGGAAGAAGCAAATGGGGAGGGAGAAGGAGGGGCATTAGGAGAGAGTGTCGACATATGTGGACGAAAGCTCGCGTGCGCGAAGAGAGGCAAAGGCTACAACTTCGACCTTTTGCTTCACAATGAGCGCGAGAGTGTCGACACCGGTTCTCATTTTTGGATTTTAATAATTAAGATTGCGTACATAACCCAAAAAAGAAAAAAGAGAAAAAGAAAAATATGACCATGTTTTAGGTTACGAGTTCGTTCGTTCGCTCACTGGAGGATGAAAAGTATTGGGCGGTAATAGATCCCTGCGGGCCATTTTTCCCACGTCTTTATCTTGAGATTGGGAAGCGGGCCACCGTTGTCAGTCACACTTTTGACATATATTGTATCTTACAGAACGCCATCATGTCCGGCCCAAGCATGAAATGATTGAAATCTGTCATGCTTTCTAAGCACCAATAAAAAGTCTCTCTCTCTCTCTCTAGCCATCTTTTGTCGAGTACTATGTGGAGTCTCGTGTAGAGATACAGTAAGTTTGGATAATTGATTGATTTATTGATCTCGTGCTGGTATTTTATACAAATTAAGTTGGAGAAGTAGTCTCTTCCCAATGTGATTATTATGGTTTTTGTCAATTGTGCAATTTGTTGAGCATTATTCTCGTTATGTTTCTGGTTATGGTTTTGTCTCTTCCCAACGTAAAATACCCTGCGGGCCATTTTTCACTCGTCTTTATCTTGAGATTTGGAAGCGGGCCACCGTTGTCAGTCACACTTTTTCATGAGACCCAAAATAACAAGTCTCTCTCTCTCTCTCTCTCTCTCTCTCTCTCTCTCTCCCTTGTTGTCTCTCCTGACATTGTTGACCCAAAATAAAAAGTCTTAAGCATTTTGTATGGGAATGCAAGTTTTTCTTTTTGATAGGAACTTGCAACTTGCAACTTGGAACTTGGAAGTTTTTCTTTTTGATAGGAACTTGGAAGTTCTTCTTTTTAATAGGAACTTGGAAGTTTTTCTTTTTGATAGGAACTTGGAAGTTTTTCTTTAGGAACTTGGAAGTTTTTCTTTTTGATAGGAACTTGGATCCGTTTCCAATGAGGGAGGTACATTAAAACGCTGCAACAAAAAAGGTAAACATTGTTAGATCCATTTTCTGTTGATACTAAAACAAGACTATTGCCAAAAACACACAAGACTGTTGCCAAGCCTATCTCATAAAGAATAAAAGCAGCGTAGAAACACCAAACCCCAGTGACTTATCATTCCATAAAAAACTGACTTTGGTACAAAGCCTAAGGTACCTATTCTTAAAGGCACGTAGTATGTACTATGCCTAAATTGGCACTAAACTTAAATTTTGTCTCTTTTTTCAAAGAATTTTATCTTTGAAAGCAAATAGGGATTGGAAGTGAACAGAAAGCTGGAGAGAGTCCACTGGTTCAGATTAAGACGATAATTCGTAGCGGCCACAATTCCAAATACTTTGGATGAATACACACCAAAATGAAGTAAAGCTGGTGTAATATACTTACAAGGAAGGAGGTTTTCTATGTATGTGTTAAGTCCGACGTACACGTGTTGAAACAGATCTTCATTCATCAATTCGTCCCAACTTTGGACTGTTCTGAAAGGAAGGATAACTGGCAAATGGTACCCACAGAGATCTTATGAGAGGGAAAATGCACTGTGATTGTTGCGGGGAAAAAAAAAGAAGACGAGAAAGAATCAACAATCTGCACGAAGAAGAAAGGCCTTCATTGATTTATTATCAAACTTACAATCACATAATTATATAAACCAAAGAGAGCCTTTAAGAAGCTCAACAGATTTATATCAAGTCAATAACCAATCCTTTTAACCAAAGTATAACTACAATATATTGGATCTTGTTTACAACTTTATCAACAATGCCCTCCAGTTGAGATGTTCGCTTCTCTTCAAGTGAGTTGGCAGGTAATGCCCTTAGCCTGAGTTAGGAAATGTGAACGAGTGCAAATGGATGGCAGGAGACATGAACGCTACCATACTAAGCCCATGACAATAGCCACAGACAAAAATGGGAATGCATGCATTTAGGATTTGCATATACGAAGGGGACTTGATTTGCTGCGAGATATATATCATCGGATTCCAACCACGTTCTACCTAAATTAAGGATACGGTTCTACACGACCCGTTAGCAGGCCATTAAGTTCTCTGCCAATAGGTCTATCGAGTAAAAGCCAATGCAGTTGCACTGGCTTCACAGCTTCTTCTTCATCAGCTCCTGCAATCAATATGACTGAAATTGAATTAAAATACAAAATACTCTATATACCAAAACATGATATGTAGTCCGAAGATCTAGAGCTGAATCTATATGATGACAGTAGTTGATAGGTCCAAGTTGGAATATTCTCCATTCCGCTGTTGATTCTTTTAAACCAGGGACTGAGTTGCAAGAGGTATAAAGTTCCAAAAGGAAGTCTGTGCTACAGCTACCATCACAAGTATCGCCATCTAGAAATACAATGAGAATGATGGGTAGAGAATTACCATCAAATAGACATTATACTAATAATCACATTGAGAAGATTTATTTAATTCAATTTTAGTTGTATAAATATGAGCATGAGATAAAAATTATACATTAATGAATATTCCAAAGCTTAATGTGTCTCTACATAAGTCTTCCATACAATATTCAGTACAAGATGACTAGTGAAACAATTGCACATGCTTTGTGAAGCAGATTCATATATATAACTCATGTTTATCAACAAATTTAAAGAACCCAAACCTTAAGGGAGAATATTAAATAACTCTTATTATTTGCATTCTTGAAAAAGGAAATATAACCTGTGCTAATACGAAATAATTGATGCGTTTTCATGCGGAAGGTATATTAAATTGCTACAACAAAAGGGCATTTTAATAACAAGCACTGAACGCTGCTAAATTCCATTTTCTGTTGAGATTAAAACAAGTGGTGGGAAATTGGTTAGGCGCGTACAGAGTACATACTATGGCTAAATTGACACTAAGCACGCTTATAAACAAGTAGGAAGCATTGGAAATGAACTTTTGAGAGATCATCCACTTGGTTTAGAATTAAGGCACACAAATAAAAAGAAGCCATATATACTTACAAGGAAGTAGGCTTTCTGCATATATTAAGTCCACAAGAGAAGGCTATCTAAAAGTCCACAAGTTCGTCCCAAATTGGTCTATTCTGCGAGAAAGGAGAAAGGTGAATGTTAAATAAGGAAATCTTATAAGTATGTTCCCTCTCTTCAATTGTTGGAAAAAAGAAAATGTACAATGTGCATGAAGAAAAATGGCCTTTCATATCTATTATCAGATTTACAATCACATAATTATATACAACCAAGTGAGCCTTTAAGAGCTGAACAGATTTAGAGCTCATCAATAAGTAAACCTCTCAACTAACTATAAATACATGAATCATGTTTACAACTCTATCAACAATGCCCTCCTGCTAAGATTTTATATCTTCAAGTCAGCTGGCAGACTCCCTTCCTTCTTCTGCTCAAATAAGTAGCTAGCTTCCCCTCAGCCCGTATTATTAGGAAATGTGGGAACATGTGGATTTGGAGGCATCTTTCCTGTGTTTCAAGAACTGTCCCATTAATGCCTTGTTGCCTTTGAAAGTTTAGGGTTAGAAGGACCCTCAATCAGAAAGGAAGTAGAAAGGAGATATTTCTGAGAGCACTGTTGAAGGAAAGAATCATTCTCAAATATGGCAGATACCCCAATTCCTGATGGCTGGTTTCTGAAAATTCTTTGCTGAGATTGAAGGCTGTCTCCCAAAAATGGCTTTTGTTGATTCAAGACAACCACTTTTCCCAACATATGGACCAAGCCACCCTTTTCGACTCTTGTTTATCTGTATTTGCGAAAACAAATGAGATGTACTTCATATTAATATCTACGGCTGAATTTATATGAAACCTAGAATTATAAAATTTATTTGTCATATGAACCATATATTCTCAAGGGGATGTTAATTTCTCACAGTTTGAGTCGGAAAATTAAGATCAAATTCATCTCAACCTGAACCCTAATGAGCTAAAACATTTGTAAGTTCAGGGGAATTGGTGGATAAATGAAAATAAGATAAGGAAATATACCTCTTCTGGTAGATCATCGATTCGATAATTTTGAAGGTCAGGCTTTCCAATACCAGCACCATCATCGTCTTCATCTTCGCATTCGGAAGCCTCACAAATTTTCACCACTCTCTCCCTCTGTGTCTCGGTTTTTCACTAATTTTATTTTAAAAATAGTATCGCCGCGCGGCTCTACTCGTTTTAATTATTTTTAAAATATAGTCTCGCCGTGCGGCTTTACTACTTTTGACACGTGGCGCCTGGTCGCTAGCCGGGTCTTTTAAATATGTACAAGTAGTGCAGCCGTAAAACTGTTTTAGTATAGCCGCGCGGCTATACTCGGTTTATGTTTTTGAAGACCACTAGTATAGTACCGCCGAACGGCTATACTCTGTTATTTTTATTTTATTTTAAAAATTGTATAGCCGCTTCGCTTGGCTATACTCGTTTTTCCCTAATTTTTTTTAAGTAGAATAATATGGATTTCTCTTTTTCAAATTACTTTAATTAGTAGTTTAAAAGTATAGCCGCGCGCCCATACTCTATAAATATAATATTTTAACGATATAGCGGCGCGGCTATACTCCATAAAGATAATATTTTAAAAGTATAGCCGATCGGCTATACGCCTTGGATATAGTATTCTAACGGTATAGCCGGCCGGCTATACCCTACAAGAGAATATTTTAAAAGTATACCCCAAAATAGAATATTTCAAATGTATAGCCTGATAGGACCCGCCCCGAATTTCCCGGAACCCGAGACGAACCCTGCGGAGACCCCGGCATCACACCCACGCCGGGTTTACTCCTTAAAACTATGTCCTCTTTTACCAGAGAGGATTTAGGGCACGAGACTTTCTGCCAAAATTTCGGCATAGTCTCCCCTGTAAATTGAACATTCCCCAAAATTTCTACCTGCATAAAACTCATTTATAACCCAACCAGCAGCACGCACAATATACTCTCATGCAATTTACATAAATGGCCTCCGGCCTTCAATGATTCTAACAAACTGCCCACCACGTTTTCAAAATAACTTACTGCATCAGACATGCATATAACCAATTCAAAATCCATCCATACACACCTTCACTCACTCAGTCCACCGGACAAGCCTCAATTCAACCAAGTTTCGGGACCAACCACGAGGTCCGCATCATACTCGATAAAACCACCTAAGTGGTGTCTAGGTCGTGGCTGCACCTAGGCGCTATCCCAGGCTGCCTACGTACCCTACTAAGGGATCAAGCCACACGTAGCTCTTTCCTATCAATCCTGGTTCCTGACATCAATTAAACCATTTCATCCATATAAATACATACATTCTCGGGTTTATCCATCACAACACACCAAACATAATCACATAGCTCCCCTCATACGACGGGACGCACCCGGCCTCGTACGGGGTCTGTCTACACGCCGGCTAATCCAAAGACGCGTGCGACCTCACACTGGGCCTGGCTACATTCTCACCAGCCATCATACCATCATATCTCCCACTCATACGTCGGGACGCACCCGGCCACGTACGGGGTCTGTCAACACGCCGGCTAACCCAAAGACGCGTGCGACCTCACACTGGGCCTGGCTACATTCTCACCAGCCCTCACACAATCATAACTCCCACTCATACGTCGGGACGCACCCGGCCACGTACGGGGTCTGTCAACACGCCGGCTAACCCAAAGACGCGTGCGACCTCACACTGGGCCTGGCTACATTCTCACCAGCCATCATACCATCATATCTCCCACTCATACGTCGGGACGCACCCGGCCACGTACGGGGTCTGTCAACACGCCGGCAAACCCAAAGACGCGTGCGACCTCACACTGGGCCTGGCTACATTCTCACCAGCCCTCACACAATCATAACTCCCACTCATACGTCGGGACGCACCCGGCCACGTACGGGGTCTGTCAACACGCCGGCTAACCCAAAGACGCGTGCGACCTCACACTGGGCCTGGCTACATTCTCACCAGCCTCATACCATCATATCTCCCACTCATACGTCGGGACGCACCCGGCCACGTACGGGGTCTGTCAACACGCCGGCTAACCCAAAGACGCGTGCGACCTCACACTGGGCCTGGCTACATTCTCACCAGCCATCATACCATCATATCTCCCACTCATACGTCGGGACGCACCCGGCCACGTACGGGGTCTGTCAACACGCCGGCTAACCCAAAGACGCGTGCGACCTCACACTGGGCCTAGCTACATTCTCACCAGCCCTCACACAATCATAACTCCCACTCATACGTCGGGACGCACCCGGCCACGTACGGGGTCTGTCAACACGCCGGCTAACCCAAAGACGCGTGCGACCTCACACTGGGCCTGGCTACATTCTCACCAGCCATCATACCATCATATCTCCCACTCATACGTCGGGACGTACCCGGCCACGTACGAGGTCTGTCAACACGCCGGCTAACCCAAAGACGCGTGCGACCTCACACTGGGCCTGGCTACATTCTCACCAGCCCTCACACAATCATAACTCCCACTCATACGTCGGGACGCACCCGGCCACGTACGGGGTCTGTCAACACGCCGGCTAACCCAAAGACGCGTGCGACCTCACACTGGGCCTGGCTACATTCTCACCAGCCATCATACCATCATATCTCCCACTCATACGTCGGGACGCACCCGGCCACGTACGGGGTCTGTCAACACGCCAGCTAACCCAAAGACGCGTGCGACCTCACACTGGGCCTGGCTACATTCTCACCAGCCCTCACACAATCATAACTCCCACTCATACGTCGGGACGCACCCGGCCACGTACGGGGTCTGTCAACACGCCGGCTAACCCAAAGACGCGTGCGACCTCACACTGGGCCTGGCTACATTCTCACCAGCCCTCATACCATCATATCTCCCACTCATACGTCGGGACGCACCCGGCCACGTACGGGGTCTGTCAACACGCCGGCTAACCCAAAGACGCGTGCGACCTCACACTGGGCCTGGCTACATTCTCACCAGCCCTCACACAATCATAACTCCCCACTCATACGTCGGGACGCACCCGGCCACGTACGGGGTCTGTCAACACGCCGGCTAACCCAAAGACGCGTGCGACCTCACACTGGGCCTGGCTACATTCTCACCAGCCATCATACCATCATATCTCCCACTCATACGTCGGGACGCACCCGGCCACGTACGGGGTCTGTCAACACGCCGGCTAACCCAAAGACGCGTGCGACCTCACACTGGGCCTGGCTACATTCTCACCAGCCCTCACACAATCATATCTCCCACTCATACGTCGGGACGTACCCGGCCACGTACGGGGTCTGTCAACACGCCAGCTAACCCAAAGACGCGTGCGACCTCACACTGGGCCTGAGCATAATCACAATATGAGGGGTACGTGGGGTAGTGCGTATAGCACTGTAAACTAACATTCAATCTCCTTATATATCATTATACATCCACACAATCAATATATCATGTAATTTGTAATCATACAATAACATCAACCAATAAACATTCCATAAACTCCCACATTTAAATTCACCAATTTATATCCTAACCCACAATATCCATTTAACTCAACAACGCTCAAGACCTGTGACTAAGGTCATCCTAACCCTCAAGGAAAGGTAAGACTATCTCGGGAGTCTCACGGTCAACCTAGGGTCAAACGGGCCTGCGGGGCCCACAACCTCCAAATTCCGATCCGAAAGTTCCTATAGGTTCTATAGGCTCTCGGACACATGTCCTGCAAGTTTGGTCCAGATCGGACGGTCGGATCGCTCACGATCACACGATCGGACGGTTACTAAAACCCCAACCCCAGGGTTGGCATTTCCGGAGTATCCGGGACTCCGTTTTACGATCCGTCGGATCCTACACGATCCTGGTAATACCTAGATCAACATATTATAATTTCAGGACCATCCAACGGTCCAAACCCAGCGAACCCGGAAAATACGCGATATGCGATATCCGTTCGGGACTCTAACGGTAACCAAAATGAGATCCGAGCACACCTACGCGCTCATGACAACCTGAGGATCATTTTAGAACCTCGAGCCGGTCCATTTTCCTAGCCCACGCGCCGCCACACGCGCCGGCAGCGCGTGGGTGCCTTGAGTAATTTCCGGCGGCCGGAAAACTCCAAACCGCCGGCCAAGCTTCCTATCCCAGATGTAAAACCCTATTCTGAGCCACTTTTGTTCTTGGGCATACCCCAAAATCTGACCGGAAGTGGCCGGAATCTCATCCCGAAATCCGGCCGAAACCCAATTCGTAAATCGAGTTGCCTACGCTACAAATCGATCAATTCCTACCCAACAGGCAGCTAGAGCTCGGAAAATAGGTGAGAAACCATACCTTGATCGCAAGATTTGGTGGCCGGAATCGCCGGAACGAGCTCCGGAAAATCTGGGTAAAAACCGGCCGTTTTTCTGCACTTTCCGGCGGTATCGCTGCCGGCTGACGTCGGAGAACAGGTGGGGTAGGACGGCGGAGTCAGGCCGGTCATTTTGGGACCGGTCCCGACCCGAGTGGTGGCCGGATGACTGAACGGCCGGCCAAAACGTGGCCGGCTGTGGTGGCGGTCGCGAACCAGAGGAGGGAGAGAGCGACGCGCGGGAGAGAGAGAGTGTGTGAGAGACGGGGGCAATTCCGTCTTTTAACCAAAAATCCCACTTCAAAATATTTACGATTATGCCACTGAGCTTCATTTGATCATATCTCTCTCGTTACAACTCCGATTCGAGCCCACTACATGTCTACGAACTCATCTCGCCGTGCTCTACGCAACGGTACATCCTGAATTCCTAATTCCTTCCGGGCAAGAAAATGACTAAAATATCCCTATCCCACGGGTAATTTCTCAATTCCACTTAAATAAATTAAAACATGGGATACTTTGGGGTCGGGGTGTTACATAGCCGGCGGCTATACTCTAAAAATATAATATCTTCATGTCGTCAACTCTGCAAACTAACTCGCCATCGATTTCAACCGATTCATTTTGTTTAATTCTTACACACAGCAATACAATGCATGCTTCAAGGTCTGAAATTGAGCAATGTTTGTATTTTTACGGCTTTAATGCTGCCTGGGCTCCTATCATGTCCCCACTACATCAACTCAGAAAACTGATGGATGGGTCTGATATAATCCCAATGAATAACTTGACTCTGATACCATGAAAGTGCAGGTAGAAATTGAGTAATATCATCCCAACGAATAACTAAAAAAAGTGCTCACATGAACACTGGCGGATCTGTTAAGGAGCAAAGAGGTGCAGCTGCACCTCTCCTCGCCAGAAAAACTATTGTTGGTGCTTGAAATTGCCCCTTTGCTCCTTAATTCCATCTTCAACATTTAAGTAAATGTCTTTGTCTTTTTACTTTCATTTATTTTTATATTACTCCATTTACTTAAGTTTACAATGTAAATAAGGAAGTACCCCCCATTTAGATTCAAATAAAAATACTAGAAAATCAAATCCCCCCCAAATCAAAATTTAAAAAATCGGTTTTAGTGCAAAATACGATTTAGGCTAAAAATGATAGCTCATTAAGTCAATATATACTTCATAATAAAATCCCATAAAATCAAGTTTTCTTATTTGATGTGTAAGGAATAAAAGCCGCCAAAAATTATCTTGAGAAAATGATTATTCCGAAAAACCATTTTTCATACTTAGTCAATACTTTTACATAGAACAATTTTTCATGTATGATATGAATGCATGAAGGGACCTAAGGTCAATCTAGGTAAAAAGCCTTAGATGTTCAATCCACAAAGAGTTTTTAACCTTTCAAAATTGCACCTCCGCTAAAAAATTCTTGGGTCCGCCAGTGCACATGAATAACATGATTCTGATACCATCCCAATGAATAACTCAGAAAAGTGCTCACATGAATAACATGACTCTGATACCATATTAGAATGTCAGCTTTCAACTCGAAACCAATTGGCAATGACTACTCAAGATCATTTAAACTATGGCAAGGCTTTTAATTCCCCGATGTGGGATTCTCTCTCAGCAAGAATGCAAGAAGTCTGCCAGCACACTTGAAGAGAACAATCAGAAGTGCTTCTCAATGGCGGGCATTTGATATTTTTGTAAACATAATTCAATTGTATTCTCCATGTTATGCAACAATCACAGAGTACTTTCCTCACGTATACTCTGTGAAGAACTTGATGGTTTTGATTAATCTGAACAAAGTAGATGATCTGGCAAGCTCTTTTGAGATATTCAAAGTATTTTGACATTTTTGTTCCCAATTGCCTTTCGAGCACGTTGGTAACACGAGAGAAACTTTAAGAATGGTGCTAGTTCAGGTAGTAATGAATTTCCAGCTTAAGACTTTGCCTGGAAGTCTTTTTTTTGTTTTTTTGTTTTTAATAGCTAACTATAAAACACCCCCTAGATGTTTGGAGTCATTCTCAATATGGGCCGGGGTTTCAATTTCATCAAATTACACCCCTAATATTTTCAAACTTATCCAATTTAATTCTTCCGTTAAGTTGACCATGTGGTCATTCATTAACTGCTGACGTGGCCACTGGTCAGTCGGTAGGTTGAGTCCGACAGTAAGTAACAATGAAAAGACAACAAAATTCAGAAACCAAGCATATCATACACCGGACGGAAGTGCATTTTTTCAGAAACCAAGCATATCATACACCGGACGGAAGTGCTTTTTTTCAGAAACCAGGCATATCATGCATGTAAACATACTTGTACAATTTTCAGACTTAAAAATTACAATATAAATTTCACTGTCTTAACTTGAAAAAGAAAATTCTTAACGATTTATTTCATATATAAAAAAGAAACATGACATTATGAAACTCGTCATCAAACAGCAACAGAATTCACGGGACACCAGAAGATTTTTAAAATTATGCCAGAAAGGTCTTCCAACATCAGAATTAGCACCTTTAGCAGAAGGCTCAGCGTGTGGTTTCATAGCCGGGAAGAGAAGAACTTCCTATCCAACCACAAACAAGACAGTGAGAAACCATTAAAGGTGACATCTCACACATGACCACATACACAAGATTATTGAAGGGGGGAAGGAGGAGGGATAGAGGGCACAAACCTTGATATTCTGTGAATCAGTTAACAACATACAGAGCCGGTCGATGCCCAAACCCCAACCGCCAGTTGGAGGTAAACCATACTCAAGGGCTCTACAAAATGTTTCATCCAAAGGCATTGCTTCATCGTCACCTGATTGTCGATCCTGAAACTCAAACCACATATCATAAGAAAAAGAAAAAGTTAACCAAACAATTTATAATAAGATACCAAAACTAAACAGTGAAGTCATACCTTGAGTTGATCAGCAAATCGTTGGCGTTGTACCACAGGATCATTCAATTCAGTGTATGCATTGGCGAGCTGCCCAGCAAAAATAACATTTGGTAACAAGCACAACGCAACAAACCAAAAGATGCCAAATAAATAAATAATTCAAACAAGTCTTCAAGTTGGCAAACATACCTCATGCTTGTTGATAAACAATTCGAAACGTTCAGTCAAGCCCGGTTTTGATCTATGCCACTTTGCTAAAGGACTCATTATTTCGGGATGGTTAATGATAAATGTAGGATTTACACAAGTCCCTTCCAGAAAGTGCCCCACAAGCTGCAATGATAGAAAATGTCATCAACACAAGAAAAACATGAGATTGCATTACCACATTAAAATGCCATTCCCTGCCACCCAATAGCAAAATTGGAATTATATTATAACCAGATATGTTTGGCATTTGTGAGAACCATTTGAATCAAGTAATGGAAATGGAATGGTTCAAATGGTTCTTAATGGTTCACATGAAGTTTTCGTATATATACACGGGCGTAGAGAATCTCAAAGTTATGTGAAATTTTTTTGGGATGAGAATATGCCATCATAATTCTCACTCTATTGAAATTGCGATGAGTGTATTCAATGTCATTGCTCCTATGAAAAATACCATTAGCTCCTCAAAAGACCCTAGTTCAAATTGGATAAAATATCCTGATTCATGTACTGGATTTAGAAGAATATTTTGGAACGGGGAAAAAGAAAATGATTTACCTTGTCCAATAAACGAGTTGTTGTTTCAGGAGGAGAACATTTGATATCAAACTTCTTGCATGCCTCCTTAAGATATTTGTTAGCTTCATCACTAGAGAGATCTGCTGGATTTATGTTGAGATCTGCGATCTTATTTAATTCATCGACCATGTCAATCCTCCTGCAACACAGTACCAGTTAAAACCATCAGATAAGTTGTTTCAAATCTGTTTCAGTTATAACATGCATGACCAATAATGAATTAGTTTACAGACCTGAAAGGAGGAGTGAAGTCAATCTCAATTGGATCCTTATCGAGCCCATTCGAGTGATACTTGATTTTGTATCCACCAGTGAGTTCCTTGACCATCTCTATTTTAGATTTAATATTATATCAGCAAAGAAATCCAAGTAGTTTTAAAGACATATATGGAGTAGTGCAAAAGAAGCATATGTTTAAGCCATACCACTCAACATTTCCTCGGTCAGGGTCATCAAGTCATTGTAGTCTGCATAAGCCATGTAGAATTCACAGGTGGTGAACTCAGGATTATGAGTCAAATCAATACCCTCATTTCTAAATTGTTTTCCAATCTCATAAACACCGGTACGAGACAGGTCACCAACAATTAACTGCTTGAGATATAGTTCAGGTGCAATGCGCATGAAAAGCTTCATGTCAAGTTCATTGTGATAAGTCACAAAAGGGCGGGCAGCCGCTCCACCAGCAATCATATTCATCATTGGAGTTTCAACCTGAGGGTGGGAGAAAATAGAAGAACCAAATGACAAAGATAGAAAAGACACAAAATGTAAAGCACCATCAACAAATGGCCATGAAAACGCAATGGATACAAAAAGCAAGCTGATGAAAGACTAACCTCCACGAAATCACGCTTGTCCAGGAACCTTCTAACATATTGAATGATCTTAGATCTGGTCTTGAATATTTGTCGAACCTCGGTGTTCAACATTAAATCCAGATAACGTTGACGATAACGAGTTTCCTAGCAAGAAATACAATTAAGTTAACACGTAAAATAATGGAAAACGAGAACAGTATAAAAATTTGAAAACTAAGGGAATAACATAGTATGACTACTTAATCAAAACCCAGAACTGTAATCTTAGTGTTCTCACAGATACTGCAAAAAAAAAGGTGTAAAAGTTTCTTCATCAATCAATACCTGGTCTTTTAAAATATAAGTTTCAGGATTCCTTGGGCTTCCTGGGACCCATCCATCAGTCTTCTGCAGAAGTTTATGTAATGGAGTCAAAATAGGAGCACAGGCAGTATTAAAGCAGTAAAAATACAAACATTGCTCACCTTCGCATTAGCATTATCAGAAGCAGGACCAGCTTTATGCCTTGGCATCATATGAAGACAATGTGATAAGACTATAAATGATCTTGGGAAAATGCTCAGCTCCCCTCTCTTCGTCTTCCCTAAGAGAAAGAAAGAAAGAAAGAAAACAGAAAATTGTGTAATCCAGACAAAATGAACAGTTCATAGTCCCAAAACATACAAAATCCAGCAGAAAATTATGTCACAAGTCAATGTATAGAGGAAATGAATTTGTTCCTATAATGCTTAGTAAGTGAAACATAAAACTACAATCTGGATTACACCAACAGCTATTACAAAAACACTTGTGCTTAGGAAGTGCTTATTCAACTGGATCATATAATTCGAAAGCAAATTATTATAAATAACAAGTGAAAGGTATATCAACAGCTATTACAAACCTGGGAACCCAGTCACTCCAACAATATCACCACGCTTAACACTAGAATGGAACTTAGAAAATTCAGATTCATCCAACTCCGATTTGCTGCGTGAAAAAATGAAGTCAATCACACATAAGGAGAAGCAGAATAGTTTGCATTTATCTAATAAGGGGTGAATCCAGAATTGTCCATGGGAGTGAACATCCAACAACACTTCAATACAATAATTAGCTTTCCACTTTCTATAAGACCAACTTCATGCCATCATCTGATCAAGTTATTTTTATTTCATAGGATTGGAAAATTAGATGGAAGATGAGAAAATATGAAAATAATCAGTTGATCTTATTTACACATAAAAATAGTATTTGATGACTAGCAACTTCAGAGCAAAATCAAACTTAAACCAACTGCTATATAACTTTCACCAAAGAAACTATATAGACTTGGGCATGCTCTGTGTGTGTGCCTGCACATATATACTAAATACAACTAAAATCTTCAAGCAATTTTTAGACCCTTAAACAAGATGATATAAGAATTGTTTCAGATAATAACAAATACAAAGATGGCAAATGTAGTTCATTACATTGATCTAAAGGATTACTACTACATTAAGATATAAATTACCAGAAAAAGAAGTGGGGTTGGCAACAAATTTATACCTTAAATCAGCCATGACTTGAACCTTTTCACCGCCACCATGTAAATCATAAAAGAAAAGCTTAGAGCCGGAGGACCTTTTGCTCATGATTCGCCCTTGCATAGGAGTAAAATTATTCACATCAACAAAGAGAATGAAAGTGATATATGATACCCTAAATAAATATAAACCCCTAAGTTTGAATACCAGCTAGCGATACACTGATCTCCTCCTGATGCTCCCCATTGCTTAAGCCGTCATACTTTTCTACATATTCAAGCAGAGTCATTGAAACAAAGAATTTGTGAGGATATGGATTTTTATTATCTGCCTTCTGTGTAGCAAGATGCTTCAGCCTGTTTTCAAAGTATTGCTGCAACATGATAAAAAACAAAAGAAGAAAAACGGATGAGGCTCGGGTCATAAACGAGTGAGAACAAAATCTAAACAGAAAATAATTAATGTATACCGTTGGATCCATTTCTTCATCTTCATTAGCTACATTTTTCTTAACCTGCGAGCTTGCTGTGGCAGCAGCCTGTAAGATAAGATCAGATTTCATAATCAACTGGGGTGAGCTTCTTTGTGTACAGTAAGAAATTACACATTATCCTTCAAGTGTATCCAGAGTTCAAGTGACTATTTAGTATGAATTCACTTTCATGGTTGTTGAAATATTAATTTTATGCCTTCAAATCACCAAAAAATATATAAAAAAGATTACTGGGAAACCAATACTTATATATAATTAAGCACGCCACAATTTTTTTCATCCTTTTCAAAAGACCAAACAGAGAAAAAGAAATAAAAGCATGCTGAGATATTAGGTACCTGCTTTCCCTTCTCCTCCTCTTTTCGCCGCCTCTCCTCTTCCTTTTGCATGTTCTTCAGCTCCTTCTTGCGTGCACTGTAAGCATTCCACAAGATTCAAAACAATCAAAAACAAAAACCCATATGGATTAAAAATAAAAGAAAACGCGTCATGGACCGAAATTAACATATTTTACGTTCATTATTGTTTGGAACCCAAGCAAAATGCCTAAAATCCCTCAATTCAAAGGCAATCCCTTTCTCAAGGACCAAACAGGTTTCTAAGAGGCACGTACTTTTTGCTCATAGTTCCTTCCGATTCCATTGTCAAATCTGAGACCTCTTTCGTTGTTTTGTCAACAGGGCCTGCCATTGCAGCGACTCCTTATGTGAAGGGAGAGCAAGAGGTTTGTGGGTTTTTGTGTGTGTAGTAGCTAGGGTTTGGGGTTTGACTATTACGCGGGTCTTAGAAATAAGCTGGGTGATTTATAGCAAGCTAAAACCTATATACACTAGGATAATATAGAGTTATTTACCCAAACACCCCTGAGATCTTAAATTGTTCTCACAAAATCTTTTTTTTCTTAAAATTCCTTCAAAAAATTGTTGATTTCATAAAAGAAAATATATAATGACAAATCTGCCCTTAAACTTATAACTATAAAATAAATAAATAACTAAAAACTAAACCCACCAGCACAATCTCCCCTACTTACCCTCCCCCTCCGACAAACACCCACCCGCTAAAGGGTGGGGATTGGGAGTCGATGGGTGGGGTTGGATCCGAGATATCGGGGGTGGCGGTTGAGAGTCGATGGGTGAGATATTAGTTTGGGGACATTGTTCCTAAAACTAAGGTGTCAAGAAATCAAGGTGGGCTTTTGGGCGGTGGGTGGGACTTTAGGTGGTTGATGGCTGTGGGATTGTGGGTTAGGGAGGAGGTGTGTGGATGTTGTTCAGGGAAGGGGGGTTTGGGCCACAGAGAGAGAGAGAGAGAGAGAGAGAGAGAGAGAGAGAGAGAGAGAGAGAGGAATAGGAAGATAAGATAGAGAGAAGGGCCATGGCTGGCAACCATGGCCGCGGGTTAGGGAGGGGGTGTGAGTGAGGTGTTTGTCGAGAGGGGAGAGGGGCAGTATGGTGCTGGTGGGTTCACCAAAAAATTTCAGTTATGAATTTAAGGGCAGATTTGCCATTTTGATATTTTCTTTTTATGAAATCAACCATTATTGAAGGAATTTTAAGAAAAATGAGTTTTGTATGAAAACAATTTAAGACCTTAGGGGGGTGTTTGAGTAATTTTCAAAACCTCAAGGAGTTTTGTGAAAACGTATAAAAATTTAGGGTGTGTTGGTGTAAATAGCCCTACAATAAACTAGGAAATTTTAAATCAAATCCTACTAAAACCTAGAAACTATAGAATTTAGGAAACTAACAACAAATAAGGAAATTTGCTCAAGTTCTTTTCCTTTCCCCTTTTTACAACGAAAGGTATGGATAGGAGATTTATATATGTTAGGTGGGTCGGGTCGGGTTACACTTTTTAAAGTTTTTTTTAAAATAATATTTTTTCATCCTTTTTTTTGTTCAAGTATTTTTATTTTCTCCTTTTTACAACAAGATAGTACTGGTGCTGGCCTTTCTGTTTCATGCGACTGAATTTAAGTTGGTAAGACATTTTAAGTTGGAATTCTTATTTTATTAATTAAGAAAAATTATTTAATTAGTATGTGTTTGAATGGAAAACGGCACTAACAAATGCATATATTAAAGTCAACTGGGAAAAAACCATTTTTATGCCAAACTAATTTCAATCTAAAATGGGTTCCCACCAGAGCGGTGGTCACTTCCCCCCATGGCACCACAGTTTGAACCCCAGAGTCGAACTCCAATATAACTAAAAATAAAATAAACTAATTTCAGTCCCTACTAAACATTTCACATAATAGTCAGTCAATAAGAAAATGACAAACCAAACAGGGGGTCTTAGGCACGTACTCTTTGCTCATAGTTCCTTCCGTTTCCATTGTCAAATTTGAGACCGCTTCCGTTGTATCGTCAACAGTGCTTGCCATCGCAGCGACGCGGTATGTGATAATGTGAGGTAGAGGAAGAGTGGGCTTTCTGGGGTGGGTTTTGTTGTGCCACAGTGTAGCAAGGTTTGGCATATATATAGAAATGAGGTTGCCGACTAATTCACCTTTTCCTTACGTAGGAATTCTTTGTTCCTTGCTAACCAAGAAAGTCAAGCATTATGACATTTTTTTAATGCGGGAATTCTTCATTCAATTCTTTTTTTAATGCGGGATTTCTTCATTCCTTGCTAACCAAGACGGCAGAAAGTAGTCAGTCGTCTAAGGTTGTCTTTTTCCTGTATAACAAATGAAAATCAAACATGTGTATTTTTTTTCAGTTTAAAGAAAGAAAAAAAAAGGGACCCTCCTCCTCATACGGTTTTCACATGGACCCATCCATGTCAATTTCTGTATCTAATATATATATATATATAGAGTTTTTCTCTAATGTGGACGTCCGCATTTTGTTAAACTACTGTTGTTCACTTTTTTCTTGTATATACACATATATTGGCAAATTTGTGGACAACCGTAGTTTAACAAAATGCGGACGTCCGCATTAGAGAAAAACTATATATGAGGTGTTCTCTACTATGGATGTCCGTATTTTTTCTAACGTCCGGACTACTTGTTTTTTTGCCCTCTTGGTAAAGGTAGAATAGAAACCATACTCTGCCGATACTTAAAAGTCAAACATCACCTCTAGATTGGGACTTTTCCTTCATTGGTGGACTGTAGAGAGAATTTGGAGGCTGTTATGTGTGTTTTAGTGCCTTTTTTTCATTGATAAAGAAGAGAGATGCACAAAACAAAATGGAATGGTGTCCTTCCATTCATTCTGATCATGTGAAAAAACAAAACGAGTCCGGACATTAAGCAATTCCGGACGTCCGCGCTAGAGAATAGTCCTGTTGATATTTTTCACACATACAGGTACCATTACCATAGAGTGGGGATTTGAACCCAGAACCACTTAGGAGAACACCATTTGATATTTTTCACATATTTCTCAATTACATCAAAGTGCATTTTTTCAGAAACCACGCATATTATCATACATGTAACATATTCATACAATTTTCAGACTTATTCTTAAAAAATAATGAAAATTAAATTACAATTTAAATTTCACTGTCCTAAATGAGTAAACATATGAAAGGCACCATCAACAAAAGGCCATGAAAACGCAATGGATACAGAAAGCAAGCTGATGAACTAACCTCCAAGAAGTCAAGGTTGTTCAGGAACCTTCTAATTGATGGCATGTTTACTAATCCATAATTGGATTATGAGGAATTAAATTGAGGATGAGTTGGATTGAGGAGAATTAGATTCCGGATTCTTATTGAAGTTGTTTACTAAACCATATATGGATTGAGGAGAGTTAGATTCGGATTTGAAGTTGTTTACTAAACCATATGTGGTACTAATTACTAAAATGTCGTTGTTAAGTTAAAGTATATGACAAATTTTGAATTTTAAAATTGTAAGAGAATATAATGGTAAAAAAATGAATTCCTAATGGGTTAGTTCTCTCAAGAATTAGAATACCACCTCCTATCTAATAATTGAATTCTTCCAAAATCATGAATTCAATTCTTAATTTTGTGTGGGTCCCCACTTACTTTGTAATTCCTTGATGTGAAATAAACGCATGAATCATCCATAGATGGAATTCAATTCTTGATTTGTAAACACACCATGAATAATTTGAAGTCGAACCTCAGTAGTCAATATTAAATCCAGATAAAGTTGACCATAACGAGTTTCCTAGCGAGAATACAATTAAGTTTACACGTAAAATAATGGAAAACGAGAACAACATAAAAATGTGAAAAATTAATATGGAATAACATAGTATGATCTAAGTGATTTTATGGTGAAGCATATGATAGGTGATTCTCACCATATAATCACTTATAATCACTTAAGTGATTATATGGAGAAGCACGTGAGAGATCTTCTCCCCATAATGGTGCGTTTGGATGAAGGAATTCTAATTTTCATAGAATTTGTAAATGACAGGATTTGTAATTACAACATTTAAAATTACGTCAATTCCAAATTTCAGTGTATGGATATCTTGTATATAGAATTTAGGAAATGACGGAAATTACAATTTCCCTTGTTTTGATAATCATAGAAGGAATTTTAAAACTGAAACTCGTAGAGCAAGGAGGCTTAAGAATAAAAAAAGCATGCAATTGTTAGAAGTGAGAAGTGATCAACTTGACGTTAGCTTTCATTCAAACTTGTTTCTTTTGTATTCTTTCAACAATTTATTAAGATCATCCAAGAGGTTCAAGAGAACATATTCGATAAAAGTAAAGCAGGTAACATTCAAATCTCTTAAACAAAAACATTCATAATCGGCCATTTTGCCAGACTTTGGTGCATATTTTCCCCACTAAATATACACAAGGTTATAAATTTTTTGTTTAAATGAGGATAATTCATACTGAAGCACAGTAAGGACTCAGATGCAATCAAGTTGTTCCTCTAGTAAAATAAATAAAAATTATAATCAAGATAAAATCATCTATATAAATAAAAAAAAAACATGTGTTCCTTACTGTTTAAGGTACTTGTAATAATAAAAAAATTAACAAAGATAACATGAGAATGAAAAATGTGTTATATGCCCTTGGTGAAATAAATATAAACACCATTCCCTTTTTTCTCTCAACTGGAAGTGTCTTCAACATGAGAAATTGTTTCTCATTTTCTATAAACCAAGTGCATGCCTTCGATTGTTCATCTAGATTAAGTTCTAGAATTGCATTAACTTCATTATATACTTCTAATGAATCAAGCTTTTGTGTGGTAGCATTGATAAATTGTTCGAAAGATGAAGCCATTTTAGCCACTGAATCAGCAATAACATTAGGGATACATCTTTTCTTTGGTGGGCGAATATCATAAGATGATTGATTTCTTTTCTTTGGACAGCTAGAATTGGGTGAGACATCATCAATGTGAGAATTCTCAAAACCTTGAGTATCAGCACCCAAGTCAACAAAATTATTGGGTTCACTATCACGGGTCATAACCTCAGCAGCTTCAACTAGGCTGGGCACAGTTCAGTTTGGCCCGGTTCTTAGGCAAAACCGGAATTGGAACCGGACTATTCATCCAGTCCGATTCGGTTTGAATTTTAACTCAAATACCAAAGAAAACCAGACCAACCCGGACCTGTTTATGTCCGGTTCGGTTTCGGTTTTTCACAGTTTAGAGTGGCTGTTTAGCCTAACTGATATTTCAACAAACATCAATGGAACAAATCGACGAGTGCATACAAGAAAAACCATATATGAAGTTATGAACCTTAAAAGATAAATAAATAATAAATAAAAATATCCAGCAAAACAGATCTGAACCTCAACTCAGCTTCAAATTTGCATGAAAAATCAGATTCCATATTCAAACAATAAAATAAAAAAAATCAGATTCAAGAATTTAACCTAAGATATTCAAGAACCTAGATCTGCAAAGAAAGAGATATAGAGGGAGAGAAGAGAAACATAGAACCAAGAAGAAAAAAAAATCAGAGTACTAGAAAATCAGAGAAATAGAGGAAGAAAAAAAGAAAACGAAGAAGAAATTAGAGGAGAGAAAGAAATAGGAGGAAAAAGAGCTTAGAGCTCCAAAACCACGGCTTTTCATGTGGGCTCTCACATCTCTCTTGTGATGATGACTCACATCAACGTTGAAGAATGCCCCAGATGCCAGAACAACAAAAACTCAAGAGGAAAAGAGGTGGAAACGGAAAGAATGAGAGAAAGAGAGAGAGTGTGTGAGAGAAAGAGAGAGAGAGAAGAAAGAAAGGAATAAAGTGACAGACGTTGATGGATGAGATTAGATAATGGGGTTAGGATATTAGTATTTTAGTATGGTTTGTTGGGGTTGGGATATTATTAGTATGGCTTGTTGGGCTTGGGATATTTAGTATTATATATATATATATATACATATACAGTCCCCTTCAGTTGAGGGATCCCTTAAATAGTATTATTTGAGGGATGGGGCGCTCAGCCGTTGGATGTCTTTTAATGAGATTGTGCGGCTGTGATTGTTTTAAAAGTTGTAACCCGTTTTCACTCAAATGACCCGCAAAAGACCGAAGTCAAGCACGCACGCAGAAGGGGAAATGAAGGAAGTGGAAAAGCCAGCCCTTGCAAGCTGAAGGGCAGATCCACCATCGCCAGCTGAAGAGCGGACCTGACAATCAGGTATAGGTATCGCTGTCGATGGTTATTTTTTTTTATCTCTTTTCTCCATCTGGGTTGTGGTTTTAGATTTGGGGTTCTGTGATAGTTTTTTGATATGGGGTTTGAAAATTTTGTTCAAGGTTGAGATTACACCTGATTTCTCGTGGGTTTCTTGATTTTGAGTATATGTGTTATATGAGCTGGGTTGTAATGGTCGTGAGAAAACAAGAAACCATTTTATCTTTTATTAATCAATAAGGAATGCATTCGAATCTTGTGGGATTCACACTTTGATTTGTGGATTGATTTTTTTTTCCCACATTCATGTCAATTTCCTTTACTTTCTATTGATTTCTATTGGGTTTCATGTTTTTTTTCAAAGAAAAAAAATGAATTGTTGTGGGTTAGTTCTAGGACTCACTAATCTGCAACAAATAGAGAATGAGTTTGTATAAATTCATGTCATTTACTTATTGTTGTTGAGGTAAGAGATATAACTATTTAATTTTGTTATGGAACGCATAAAAGTGGTCTAAATAATCCTTCTAAGTTTGCAAATAATCTTTTTTATTTTCCAAAACCAAAATGCACACAGCCAAACGATAAGTTAGTTAAAATTTGTATGTTATCCAGTGAAAGTAGATGATTTTAGTGAGCCTAAACAATTTCAGCCTAAAGAATTGTAAGCCAAGTACAGAATACTATAAAAGTGGCTTTAGCACCTTAAACAAAATGTAACTGTTTGTTATGGTAAACAAAAGGAAAAAGGTCACTTTCCTTCCCTGTTCTGAAGCATATGTTTTGTATGTGCCAGTAAAAGCCTAAGATTGATTTATTTTTTTTTTTTTTTTTTTTTTTTTTTTTTTTTTTTTTGGTATTAGATAATACAGTTCTATTCGATTCAGGAACTTGCTTCTTTTACTTTAATAAATATAAATATAATAGAATTGCTTAACTAAATTTGTAATGTTCATAATACTTCGCTTATGTATGACAGTGATAATAAACTTTAAATGTGTTGTCATTCATGAATTCATTAAAATGACTATAAATGCTTTGAAGTACTTAGAGTGTATCTCTTTTTCAGATGTTTATAGTGTTTGAGTTATATGAAAGTTTTGTAATTGCAGGAAGAAAATATGATAATTGAAGGTATTTATCTATTTCGTTTGTTTTTGTTTTCTTGCAGGCTATATGGCTAAACCGAACGAGACGATCATTTTTGCCCGAAAAATGTTAAGCTTGGCTTTATTAGACGAAGGCCGTGGCTCAGAGTTTCTATGAAATCATGATCATTTATGTTTTAGTGATACTTCTTTTGTTAAGCGTGTAAATTGTATCTCAATGCCTTAGATTAGGTGATGTAAATCTAAAGTTTGTTTTATCACACTTGGGGACCTGTAATTATCAACATTTGATGGTTGAAAGAGCTTCATGGCAGTTTAGAGCTATTCAAATTTCTGCATAATTCACGAAAGCCACGCATGCTAATGTTCCTAAGTAGACTTGAGAGTCACATGACAAATCATCACTGTTCACATATATTTTCTGCAAACAAACTCATGTCATCAACCAAAATTTCTGATCATTATTATTTCCACATTGAATATAGCACTTTCTTATGGATTACAAACATTGCAATGAAAACAACTAAATCATGTTTGCTCCTTCGAAGCTCTTCTTCTACAGAAATTTGCCACAACCATACGTGCATTTCAAATCAAAACATTCCGATTCATATGTGAGAGAGACCTTATCTCCATAAAATTTCCGCATGAACTTCACTGCCACTATTGGACTTTTTATCTAGCACAAAAACAATTTCAATTTCAAATGCATATTAACAATTCATAAGCAATCTCATAAGCAAGTACAAAAACAATTTTGCATGTGTACTATAAACGACTAAAATATATCAGTAACACCTTAATCAGCTAAATAGAGCTTATCATTTAACTATTGAAAGCATCACTAATATAGGTTGTAATTGTAAACATAATATGAGACAAAATTTGGAAAAAGGATTATATGCAGTTTAGTGCTCACCTACTACAGCTAACAAAGTCTCTACGGTTTTTTTTCACAAAGCAATAGCTCCAATACTTTCTATGTGAACCTATGCCAAGACGAAGACAACATCTGCTTTCAGACCACAAGAACTCCTTCCACTTCTGATTATTGAAAATCTTCTTACAGAAGAAAGTGAAGGATCTGGAGAATCAGTCAAATATAGAAGCGGAGATCCAATTCTGGGCAAGAATTTTCTTTTCCCTGTGTCTAGCTGCCAGACCACAAGAACTCCTTCCACTCCGCCTGGATACCACAGAAGTGTCAATATATATAGGACACTTACAAATTAACAAATCAGAAAAAGAAATGGGGGCGGGGAGGGAGAGATATGATGAGGAAAGGGAAAGACATATTCCAGGTCCATTTTCACCTGCACTTGCTCAAAATCCACACACCTGAATATAAATAGGCTCCGTCAGAAGAGAAAGAAAGGGACACTTTTCCAGCAGGATGCCAATGCCATGTGGTGCAAGAATCAGCATCATCATCTCCCCTAACTCCAGGTCTTTCTTCCTCATTATTCATTGATGTTCCATCTTCTAGTTTGCCACCATCAGAAAATGTACGATTACCAAACCCTCTCCAGGTTAGAATTCTCCCACTTACATCACCTGCGGCAACAATTGTCTTGGTCGGATGAAATGCAAGAACCGTCAAGTTTCTTGTATGATGCAATGTAATCTTCCTAGAGACTAAGAGTTTAGAATATAGCAGGGACCCTCCATATATGAATCTTCCGCTTGTTCCAGATGCCAAAGAATTTTCCCGAGGGACTGACAGTTATAACCTCTGGTTCTTGAGTCTACCAAATAAGTAATAATATCAATATCAAATAGGGTATAAATACATCAGCGGACAATATATAAACAATACATGATAACAGATACGCAATAGAAAAAAACACATAAAGTCATAGAGCTTTGTAATAAATAATATCATTGCACTTCCTTTTGTTTCCTTCATATACGCAATAGAAAAAACCTAAAAGCAAATAATTTGTAGTAGATTTTTGCACCTCTGCGAAAACACCGCCACCCAAACGAGATTCAGTTAAATCACACTTCCGAATCTGCCCACGTGAAGCCTTTCGGTGCATTTGCTTGCACTTGGGTATTCTCAACAGACAAGTAAGCAAAAACATGAACCGGCAACGCACTTCCTTGCATTCCTTTCTCCGGTTGGCCCAAAAAGGACGGAAATAACCTGAAAATCAAAAACCAAACAACGCTACCCCATGAACATTCTCTCGGTTCCCAAACAGAAAATAAAAGAATAACAATAAATAAAAAAGCAACCAAGCTAAATAAATACCATAGAGAAAATGGGCATTTTAATATCAATGGTCTTCATCAACTCAGCGACTGCAAAGTCCCAATAGCGAAGGGTGCCGTCGAGGGGAGGCAGTCCAGCAAAAGCTCAGAGCTTTGTTTCCGGGAACTACTATAACGGAGGTGACCAAGGCATTGTGAGCCTCCAAGGACGCTATCTAAATTAAACAAATAAAACCAAATATTATCATAACAGGGAGGGTATGGGAGCGTAAAATTGAGGAGGAAGAGGAGGGTAGAGAACTGGAAACCTGTAAACCGGTGGAGGTGCTAAAGATGGAGGCGATGGTGCCTGTGCAGACGAGGAGGCGCTTGGCGTCGGTGGAGAAGGCCGGAGGTGCTGACACGTAAACTCTTGCCGCCAGAAATCATCTCTCTCTCTCTCTCTGTGCTCTCTGTGCAACTGTTTGAGTTTGAGAATTCAGAGAGTTGAGCAGCCTCCCTTTTAGTGTTTTTGGAGGGTTTTTGTTTTAGGGGTTTAAGACTTTGGCTACCGAGAGTTCTCTACATTTTTTAACGAAGAGCCGTCGAGGGTCCCTTCAAGCTTTCTTTTTTTTTTTTTTTTTTTTTTTTTTTTTTTTTTCTTAGGGGCCCACGCTAAGGCCCAATTAACCACATAAGAGTGGGTTTTGCCCGATCACAATACTTTGAGAAATTTTCACCAAGCAGTTTTTTACTCTTCCCATCAAAGAAAGAAAAATCTATGGGAAGCTCGCCCGTTCCCTAAATTTATTGGCTTTGTGATATAATTAAAGGTTGTAGGTCTTAGGTTCAAGGACTGGCACCGATCGGATCAACGTATTACCAGAAAAATCAATGTCGGGAAACACAAATGGGAAATCATGAGAGCTAGGAAAATGGTCCATTAGGGGCACTTGCCCCTACTAGCTATTGGTGATTTATAGTCGGGAAAAAAATAAAACAGCAGAATATAACAGTTCGAAAATGGAAAAAATGAAAAAAGGGGAAAAATTGAGTACAGAGTAGTGATGGTCCAAGTAAAGGGAAATATTTGGATGGATATGACATTATGATCCAAAAAATTTTTACTTTGTCACGCCCAGAGCATGTATGAATCTGACAGTCCCCAAAATACAAAGTTTCAAAAACAAACCGAATTCAGGGAATAACTCAATGGAAGGCAAGAGTTGGCCGTCTCTTATTTAACGTTGTACAACACAGCGAATTAGATTACCGACTAGACGTATATTTCTCTCAAAAAAAAAAAGAAAAAAAGAAAGAATAAAACTATATATTGAACTGCATATAGTTTATACTGATCATCAAATCACATCTCTCCCCCGATGAGATGATATTAAGAGGTAATGCTCTTCCATAAACACAATTGAAGAAAAATAGGCATTTCATTGATTTTATCATATTTACAGTCACATACTTATATACACCAAGTGATCCTTTAACTAGCCCAACAGAATTATTGCTCATCAATACCTAATCCTTTTAGTATAACTATAAATACAACTGAACATATATTAAAACATATCCGCAGTGCTCTTCTGTTATTTGTTTCTTTCCGATATCCTTATAGTGAGAGCCGGCAGACTGTGCTTCCTTCTGCTGCTGGCAGCTTCCCCTCAGAAATGCTACTGCATGTAGGTTGCCTAGATGAAGGGAGAATTGTTTTGTGCAAATATATCCTTCGACTCGTAGCATGTTCCACCCAATCTGGTGATTGAAGGCTAGGTATCATTCAACTTTTTTAATGGCAGGGAGTTGCCAAAGCCCAAAGGTGATTGCTTATTTCTGGGCCTAGAAAAAGAAAAAAGAAAAACAGAACAAGAACCAAAGACAATCATAATGAACTCGCGGATTTTTAAAAAAACAGAGCAAGTCTGGAGTAGAGAGCTCAAAAAATGTTTAAAATTAAGACCAGGGCATTCTCATTGAAAGATTTCCACCTGTTTTTGAGGATGTGAGTAAGGATTTGGGATAGCTTTTTGACAACAATATCTGACTTGCAAAGTAAATAATTAAAAACAAGAGTAAAACAAGGTCATAAACCGAAAGTACAAGTTAAATTACGAGCGTTGGTAGATAACTGAAAATGAATTGATGGAGCAAATAATACATAGGGCTCTGGTAAATCATTGATTCGATGTTCTGGAAAAGGGAAAGGCAACGATTCATATTCGAGCCTCATTGACCTCTCTCTTGGCTTCAGTCGCCTACAAAATTCACCATTCTCTATGATTTAATATTGAACCCTAACACCTATTGGTTAATCAGACGAATAGAAGGACGCGGGTGGTTACAGATACACTGTCTCAGAGTCTTTTATCAGGTGATCTTAAGATGAGAACTTAAGGGTCAAAGGACCCTAAACAAAGAGAACATCGAAAGGGAGAGATTTTTTAGGAGCACTGTACTTCAAAGGAAATCTTCATTCCAGGAAGGAAGGCCCAATTCCTGAGGCGAAGTTGAAGAGTGAAGTCCAAAAGACGGATCTTAAACCTCATGCTACTGGTATACACAGAAGGGCAGCACTTTTTACGAGAACCCTGATATTAGAAGCAGACGTAAATAAACACACTTAAAACGTTAGAAATCTTCTGAAAATGAAATAGTGATATAAAATAGCTACAAAAAAAGAGGGAAACACTGAAACTGAAAATCTATCTAAGCAACCAGGAGTATTAAAAGTACTTCAAGGATTTTAAAAGCGGACAGTACTTATATGAAATCGAGAGCTCAAGTTTGATACTGAGCCGACCCCTCAAGAGTTATGGAGTTAGAAAAATAGATTTATTTTCATCACAACCTGGTCCTTTAATTGAACGAACCCTTATATTCCAAATAAAAACCAATTTGAAATAAAATTGTATTCCAAATATTCGATATAAATACAAAGACAATTTTCTTTTTGTAGAATAGAAAAGAAATTAAATAATATAATATATATTTATAAAAGCATACCAATAAAAAGTTACATTTTGGAAGCAGAAAAAAAGAAATAAATTAAAAATAATTGGGTCGAGCACGATCGACCCCAAGCAAGATGTACCAAGAAAGATAACTTTTTGCATTTAAAAGCGTCAGGACACTTACAAAAAATAGCACCCCAAGGTGGGACAGGTTTTTCGGAATCAATATGGGCATGTCCAATTCACCACAGTTGGCCTCAGCATTAGATTTTCTTTCCGAATCCTAAGAAGCTTCGTGCTCAGAGGCCTAAGGTTTCAAAAACAGAAACAGTAAACTTCAACGATAAATATGATTAAAAAGAATGATAGTTGGAAACCATGCTAAAAAAAAAGGTGTACAACTAAAAAGGATCATTGAAGCCTAAAGAGGGAAATTTATGAGTATACCTCTCTGGTAAACAAGGAATCGAATGTTTTCCAACCTAGAGAGGTCAGGTCTCAGTAACGGCTCCGATATCCTCTTCATCTTGGCCTTCACACGAATCACAAACTTTTACATTGGCCTCTCACTATTCTGTCTCAGTGGAACCATAAAAGTTATCCGGAATGAGAGGACCAAAGAGGAGAGGAGAAGTTGGGGCACAGGCATCTCAGTATCAATATGGTACAGTTTCTACTAGTGAACAGGGGGGGGCTGTAAAAAAATTTGGGCTCCTTTGAAATCAGTGGAATTAGGGTTTGAAATCAGCTTAGGGAAGTATCTGCAGGTTGGTAAGTAATGTTGGTTACCCTTAAAAGAATAAAGAGAAGGTTGCCAGGTGCAGGGTTGCGTATTTCAATTGCAAAGAAATCTGTAAAATCGGAAATAAATGAGGCAGCGGATAAGTAAATTCTGACAAAAGACCGATGTATACACAATACTCTTGTCTGTAATCTAGGTTTGGGACATAGAGCATCTCCAATGGCTCTATAAATGACATCAAGCCAGGCTAAGGGAAGATTAGTTAGCAGAGGTTACGGGAAAGGATAAGTTGTTTATTTTTGGGCTTTCAAATACATGATCAAAAAAATATTGACTCAATTCATGAAACAGCCATAAAAATCAACTGATAAGATTTCCAAAGCAAGTAGTTCACAGAGGCATTTGACAATGGAAGACATGCACAAAGTCATTCTAATGGCCATACCAGTAAACGGCTAGGCTTTTCGAACATATACTAACATGCACCGGCATTCCAATAGTATTATTATATATACCAACACAAAACCATTTCGGTTAGCGAAATCCACTTTATATATGGATAGGAACATCACAAGCACTTCATAAATGTACAAGGCATATGCATCTCCCTGATCGTACTTGGATTTGGACAACTACATTCCCAATTGTTTGCAAAAAAAAAACAATGCATATCAATGTGCCAGCAGCCTCACCAACCAAAAGAAACCAATCAGCCAGTAAAAATGAAGGTTAAAGTTCTCAACAGTCGGTTGTGTACAAACGACATACCGAGAGAGAAACTAGTAGTGATCAATCCCAGATGCGAAATGTCTCTTACCACAACAGAGCTCTAAATTAAGAGTTCCATAAACGTACGAGGATTGTCAGAGGGAAAAAACAACAAACCCAACCCCCCCACCAAAATTTTTTTTTTTTTTTTTTTTTTTTTTTTTTTTTTTTTTTTTTTTTTTTTTTTTTTTTTTTTTTTTTTTTTTTTTTTTTTTTTTTTTTTTTTTTTTTTTTTTTTTTTTTTTTTTTTTTTTTTTTTTTTTTTTTTTTTTTTTTTTTTTTTTTTTTTTTTTTTTTTTTTTTTTTTTTTTTTTTTTTTTTTTTTTTTTTTTTTTTTTTTTTTTTTTTTTTTTTTTTTTTTTTTTTTTTTTTTTTT